AGTTCTCTTGATCATGCACACGCTTCACCTCTACCAGAAAGAAGAAAATTATGGTACTCGCTAGGATCTGGAAGGTCCTAGCCAGCTGCGGCGTCGTTGGAATTTTCTACATGATGGTGTCAGGAGCGAGAGAGATAAATATATTTAATGATCAAGATATGTGTCAGATGAAGTTCCAAACTCATGTTTGTGTGAAACATTACTAACGGACCGTGCTAACTAGAGTGGTAAGTAGCTTCTACCTGCTTCACGAAGGTCATTCTTCTTACACTGTGGTTTTCTCGTGGTTCGAGTCTGCCTCTAGCACCTGCAAGCCCATGCACATTCGCCTAAAATGAATGTTGTACTCCGAAGGTACATGCATATATACTGTTTCCATGGCTCATACAACAATTGGTACATATGTACAATTTTATATAGAAAGCAAGACTCTTCCTTCCATTCTGGTCTGACTAGGCAAACTAGTACTATTACACGCAAAAGCAGAAGTCAAAAACGTTTCGAGTAGGAAAAAAGGAGAAACACGATGCGCGTTCCGCGAAACAAAAAGCAGCTCCACACAAAGCAAAACATAGACAACGACGTAACTTTCTGTAATGGTGGTCATCGCAATGAGAATCGTGCATCGCAGGCAAGAAGTGAAACGGTCTTACATACAGCAATAGCCATGGATTTCACAATGGTCGCTTAGGAAGCAGCTTGACAATTCGGTTCTGCTTGACGATATGCGCATCCTTCCCGAAATAGCGTCCGGCCTCGAAAGACCACTGCAGCGGACCGGTAATCCAGTTCTGCAGTCCTTCGACGTACTTAGCCACATCTTTGTCGACTTCTTCTCCCCACGAGGGGAGAACAGCGCGGTTTTCTTCGAACCGTTGCAGGGAGATATTGCATAGCTGGGCGCAGTAGTCAATAGCTCCTTGCAGGTCGAGACCTTGGTTGATCATGAGCACAACAACTAAATTATGTGTGCTATGGTGAGATTGCTCCATGTTATAGGAGAAAATATCCTGTCAGCAGCGATATCAGTAGTGCCCCAACTTCGACGACAGAATGAGGCATTACGTTTGACCAAGAAACGAAGTCATTGGTAGCCTCCTCCAGCGCCATGATGACTGGATGCGAGACTACTTCGTCAGGAAGATCAATCTGACAGACGAATTCGATAAGGGCAAAGCAAGCCTTGCAGCCGCTCAAGTCGCGCCTCAATTCAATGTAAGATTCAACATCATTGATATGCCCCTTGACGCGATTCTCCACCTCCTTGGCCGCAGAGATAAACCATAAGTCCATTGTATGAATAAAGCGTTCTGTGCAGCCAGGGCCGCCAGTCTCCATAAAGCGACCGAAGTATCTTAAAACCGTGATCTAATTAGAAAGTGTGCGCGATGAGAAAAAATAGAATAGACATACGATTTGCACATCTTTCCACTATATCTTTCCGTTTGGAAGTTGACGGGATCGCGGTACGCAGATACGCAGCAGTCGCGTACTCCCCATGCATCATTGACATCGGGTGACCTTTCGATCTCGAGCCAGTCATCCATTTTGAATGACCAGCCCAGGAAGTCCGCGCAGACTTTGAGATGGAAAGCATCTGCATCAGGGTAACAAGATGAAGCGAAGTAACCTGGGCGCAATATCGTAGTATATTTGGTAACATCGGGCTCTACTAGATGGGCTTCGCTACAAAGCCATTGTGCAGAAGCGCGAGATACCTGATCACAGTGAGGGTTTAGTCGCATGGGGTAGCGGCAATCGCTGACGAAGTCAGGTAAAATGAACTCTGTGGACTCGGTGTCAGAAGCAGTGACGGTGCAAGTTGCGGTAGAAGCCATGGGGATTGTCAGACTCATGAACGTCGAGATGAGGGAATGGAGAAATCAGAGACCCGAGTTATGAGACAAAGACTCTGAAATATATCACTCTTTATACTGATGCCAATCTTGCTAGCGGGTGTGTCGTGTTGGCTCGGACCGCCGCGTGATTTTGGATATGAGGGTCCACCGGTCAGGTTGAAAGAAAGCGAGGTGTAGACTCACCTGTTCTATGTGTCACCTACTCGAATTATAGCAAGGTTTGAATCGCGCTTCTAAACAGGGTGAAACATTACTGAGCGTCGCCTATTCCTGTAGCTTTGATGTCGCTAACAACAATGTGAGACTCAAATTCCATGCGCTATTCCATAGGTAGGATGTACAAATGGTGAGACTTTCTCGTTATGCAGTGTCTTGTTTGTAAGGGTTCCGTATAAGTAGAATTCTTCTATGAATATGACAGAGCGCTTACTTCAAGCCTTTTCCTTCTGCATTCCCCTTCCGAAAGCCAGTCGTGATAGAGATAGTCAAGATGATCAAATGCCGAACACAGTGACAACGAACTTCGTACATCTGATCATTGACGGCCATTCACCTGTATGTAAATTGGGGTCGACGGACCAATCTAAGATCTTGCGTGGGCGTCATGATTCATGGTACCATATGTGGATTACCAGAAAGTCACATCCACAGCGGATCTGCTGAGCGAGCCATCATAGATAACGACTGAGTACATGTCAGCTTGCGCGTTCCAGCGCAGAATGCAGATTTGTGCGTAGATCAGTTGAGGAAGAGTGGAATTGGTTTGGTCGGTTCCGCGGCGCCGCCACAGCCCGGAGACTACCGCTCGGTCAAAATGCTTATATGCATCCAGCGCGTCTATCACAGTATCTGTTATAGCAACACAATGGCCATGAAACACGGGGCTGCTATAGCAGTCGCCCGCATCTGTCTTGTGCGATAACCCATCGATATCAATTCGGAGACTCCGTGAGTGATCCAGGTTGCCACGAAGTTCTGTCGCTCAACTGATGATGCATTTATAGTCACATCAACGTTCAAAAATACATGGTAAGAATCACATTACTCATCAGAAAGTTCCTTGTCAAACTTGCTTTAGTCGCAAGTCGGGAGAAATGGTACTAAGAACAGCTTGAAAGCATTCTGAAGTAAGACATGACTTCCGAACTTTGGTGAGTGTTACGTACCGCACTAGTGACATAGCCTGTCTTGGTTATGCCATTGTGTGTGCATATAAGGTTGAGTAACGTTTGGTAGTTGCGTATGTTTTTGACCACGTGACAATGACGCGTCACCGGGTGAACATATTGGTGATCATCCTCACATTCAATGTGCACCATATCATCTTCGTTTTCTCTTTCTCTTTCATCCTTCCCATCGCACTCTTCTGATTTGATTTCCCAAACATTACACGGTTATGAGCAAGGTGCCGATTAGGAACCTACCGAAGGCGCCGTTGGTTTTGTCGTTCTATTCGAAGTTTCGAACTTGTGCAATGTCTCACATCGCAAATCCTACCATTTACTTATTATCGTTAGCGTATTATCTCATATGTTATTTATTCCCACTCCCCCTAAAGCAATCATTACATAATTAATAGCCGTCGCCAGAATCGCTCATGTTCGTTTGCCCACCTCCAGGTCCAGTCCGAGCTTAAGGCTCGGACATAGCCTAATGCCTTCACGCTCGACCTCGTTCATCCTCATCGCAACAGTCAAAGTTGGAGACTGTTGTTGCTGCTGTCGTGAGTCTGCATCGGGATCTTGATCATGCAACGACTACCTTCCGGGAGATGGCTCGTGTCACACTGACTGATTGGACATGTATGCTTGATAGTTGTCATTACCATTTGCCACAGTCATCCTCTCATCGGTCACTTATTCACCCAAGGTGACGCCTCCCATGGACATGGATTTTGGCGCATCAAACCAACCCTACCCCGTCCTTAGTGACCATAAAATGCAGTTCATATGATTTGTGATGTACTTCCCGGTGCTCTTCCCCACGTTTGGAGTATGCAACCGACATGTTCGTTGTACCGGTGGCTGTCTTCCATTATTGCTTCGCTGCCCCAAATCTCCATCGATATCGTGAACTTTTGCTCACACAGACGGTAGTAGACACCACAATGTCTAACTAATGATTCTGTACATCAAATGGCTACTTCGACGTTATATCATAACAGCCGTCTTCCTTCCGCACTACTGGCTACTTTTTCAATGCATAACTACACTATCTGTGTACCTGTTTACGGGTTTATTGAGTATGACTTATCTTGCTTTATTAATATTATTTCTTGCCTTGAGGCTGCTTATGCATCTTGCGATTCTCTCTGCCCAACCCAAGTCTTACCTCTACTGTCATCTCCTGCCCGACTTCCCATACAGACGGGCATTTAGCTCATTATCTGCCGCTGTACACTGGTTGTGTGCCCGATCTCCACAACTGATACTCCACAAGTGCGACGTATCGTCGATTTCGCAATACGCCGCCTTTGTGTTCGTCTGGTTGTGATGCATTTGAGAGCACCCATCATATTTTTGCTCTCTGCCTGGCCTTTCAGGCTATCCGTTCTGCACACGCGCAATTTTACCACGAAACCTCGAGAACAAAACTAGTGACCATAACTGGAGGTTTTCGTTAGAGTTGCACGGCGCTTATTTCCTGATGACGCGGGGCTTTGATCATGGTATCACGCATTTTTTTATGTGGGTGCATTACCCCCACTCGCGGATATTGCGGTTGACTCATCAGAACTCGAGTGGGTGTCTCACCCCTACCATCTGATATCTCGGGCTACAATTCATTGGTAATGTGGTACAACTAAAACACGGTGGTCTATTCACGTCAGATACCGAAAGATAACACAGACACTAGAGCAGCATTCAAAACATGGACGTGATGTCGAGAACGAGCAAAACCAGCAGCAAGAGTAGTAACGACAAAGCTTGAAAGATGCAAAAACTGAAGGACATAGAGATACGCTGTAAAACTGGATGGCTATGAGTGAGATGTTGGTAACAAATGCAGCAGGTAATTAATTTGGAACAGTAAATAGGTAACGGGGTTATTGATGCACGAGAGCGAGTGCGCAACCAGGCGCAATGTCCAAACAAGCAGCACTTATCGAAGCGCGTTCAGCTTTCCTTCATCTCTTCATCAATAGTGCTTCCAAAATAACACTTATGAGCAGGGGTGGAGGAGATACCAGGCGACATATTGGATGAGAAGTGCATCGCAGAATCAGGACTAAGTAATCCAGAGGTGTTAGGACCGGATACAAAATAATTCATGAGGGGTTGACAAGGAACAGGTATGATGAGCGCAGGAGGCGCGAGAGTACGCGTGTATTTTGCAGATGGTAATGGTGATGGCGGTGGAAGTGGAGGGAGAGGGGCAGTAGGAGGCGGAGCGAGTGGGACGGTTCGCTTGACTGCACGACGCAGGCTACACAACATGAATTTTAGAAGACATACAATTACAGGCATTGAAGCCACTCACCGCAGTGGAGGGCCTGCGTTCAGACTGCCACTCCTTAATCTTCCAAAAAGACTGCTGGATTCTGAAGCGTTCTCTGCGACGCTGCCTGCACGACTCCGGGTGGGAGACATGATGCCAGTGCGCTGAAGCGCGCTGCCTGCATTTCGCGTCGGGGATTTGATAAGAGCCATCGGATTCGCGCCTACATTCATGCTACTGCGACGCCTGCGCATGCGAGGACGGTCAGCATTCGCAGTGGGTATTGCAACAACATTATTTGAGGTGCCACCGGGTGTGGGCGTCACGCTCAGATCGCGATCGACAGGGTGCATAGGACTGGATGACATTGGCATTGGCGAGGAGGGTGGTACGGGAGTTGTTGCTCTTGGATGGTAAGGCGCGAGAAGGCCAGAAGAAAAGAAAGCAGAATAGGTGACCATCGTTAAAATCGAAAAGGCCTGCTGCAATTGAAGATGTTGGTCAAAGAACAAGTTGAACCAAACCAAATTTGAACTTCTCTATAAGGATATTATACAAGGGACGTTGATTTTCATTTCGCTAGAACATTTTGCCACACTGTGACACAACTTGCTCAGGCTAGCCAAAACTGAGTACTGAAGTGAGATCTGCTGCATCTGCACTGCACGTCGAGACCAATATCGATTCATCTATGTCAACAGCATAATTCACCTGTCCGACATCGCAAGCTTGCACTAGCATAACGTAACCTACGGGCTGATATAATTCTTATGTAAAAACGGAAAAGTTACCCAACCCCTTTGACACCAAATTTGCCAAATGGGCAAACAAGGCCGACTAGCTCAGTTGGTTAGAGCGTCGTGCTAATACGGTTCGTTGATAAGAGCGTGACCGGTCCTTTCACGCCCTTATCGAGGGACTTCGATACGCGAAGGTCTTGGGTTCGATCCCCACGTTGGCCAATCTTTTTGTAGATTCTTGTTTCCTTCAGCACCGTCTAACTTGGTTCTATGCGTTTGTGAATACTCTTTTGAACGTCACAGGGACGGAAGACCTTTAGTTGAATGTTCGACAGGCTAGTGATGCTGTGGATGCCCAGTGAGGTTGTGGCCTGCCACTATGATAGGGTACAGGCTGTATTACGTCATCCGCCGCATTCTTACTACGCTCTGCGATCCATCAACACGATTGCTCGTGTGTTAACCGAGCCAACATGTTCTTTATTGTGAGTACCTCTCTCCGAGAGATCCATCACAATTCAATCCGTCATAACCAAACTTCAATGCTCAGAAAGAGTTGACGCACACAATTCTCCTCCATCCGTCATACTTTGGCCCTCGGATGCTCCAGTTCCTCGAGTCAAAACTCTACTCAGACGTAGAGGGAACATGTTCAGGCGCATTCGGGTACATTATTGCTGTCGTCTCCATCCTGGATATCGGAAAAGGCATGGTACTGAGCGGAAGTGGCCAGGCCGAATTTATCACCCGCTATCGTGCAATAGTCTTCAAGCCATTCAAAGGAGAAGTGGTCGATGGGGTCGTGAATAATGTTAACAAGGTGCTCCATCCCTTGTTATTTTTCCTCGATCCGTACTGAATAGCGCGTAGATGGGCTTCTTTGCTGACGTCGGGCCGTTGACAGTTTTCGTGTCTCATCAAGTGAGTTTGAATGCTGCTCCGTCGTGCCTCGCTCAACATCTCGCGCCATTCCTAGCTGATACATCCTGACATGAAATTTGATCCGACCTCAAATCCACCATCCTTTGCATCAGAGGACCAGGTATCGTCCATTTATGTATGGTCCCCCTAATGTCCCTACCTTGTCTCGAACAGATCATCGAGAAGAACACTCGTGTACGGCTAAAAATTGTGGGAACGCGCGTTGATGCTACCGAAATTGTGAGTTTGTTAATTTTAGTACGACTACAACTGTTGACACAAGGTAGTTTGCCATCGGAACGATCAAGGAAGATCATCTTGGTGTCATAGACTAGTCAAAAGATCGAATTTGGACGATCACCCTATGTATACCTGCTATCACTGTATTCGCTGTGTTATTTACTGCAAAGTACTAATGTCATCCTCTTAGTCCAATTCATGCGCTCGATTAAGTACCATTGGGGGAAGCCATGATAAATAAGAACCAGAATACATAGGAAAGCAATTGGCTATGACCTACAAGGACAAGTATGAGCTATTAATATATAGTCGAGGCAGTCTCGTCTAAGTATGACCTGTGCCCTGCTCATTCCTCATCCTCAAAATGCAAGACCTGCGCATCCTCGTCTACAGGTACATCCCTATATCCACGCCTCGCGCGGTAGCCCATCGATACAGATTCCAGGCTTGACGCTATATATTCGAACGCGATGCCCGCAAGTCCGAGAAGGAACCATGGCACAGATGCCAGCGTATCCATCGCACCAGACCCTGACCCATGCGAATAGTCGCCTCCGGGTAAACGGATCGTCCTGTGTGTCAACAATAAGCATACAACGCACACGTGAAGTAGATTTCACTTGCCCTCTCGCCATTCCGCTCTTGCTGTACCACCACCATGCGACAAGCGCTGTGATCGCAAAGGGGAATAAAATCACCATCATCCAGAATATCGCGCTGTGGCCATTAATACCAGGGCACAAGTGTTGCGTGCCTCGGTCTATGCGGTCGCCGCCCTCACAACTAGAGTAGTCCACCTTGCGGTACGCCGTGGGTTCATACCAGTAGTCTTCCCCATTGCGACATGAATCATCGGGCGGTCGTGCTGTCATCCCCGGCACAAGAACGCATTGGCCTTCCCCATTGTGGACATAGTTGAATTCGCTGTTTTTCGTGCCCAGATTTAAATTAGTTCTGAGCAGGTGATATTATACCCCGTGACTCACCACTCAAAGTCCTCCAGCGCACATGTACAATTCTGTACAATGTTGTTTAGTGCCTTGGGCGTATCTCCAACAACACAGTTCACATCCCGTTTGCGGCGATGGTAGAGCGTCTGTATGTGATATAGGTGACAAAGGAAAACATAAGTTTGGACGACTTACCTGTCGACCGAACAAGCAAAGTGAGTCTCTTTCTTCGCTGGGGCTCCAAAGCTCAAAGTCATCGTGTCCAGGGTCTTCCGTATCCACGAGGCCTGGAAGAGTGAGTTCAACATCAATCATCGAGCACAAGAGCACCAAACTCACATTTTCGATGCGTGAGAGATGAGAAGTCTAAGTGTACGATCACCGAACCAGCCGTCGCGGGATAACGACCCAGGAGCATAAACTTCCGGCTCGTATCCTCTGGCACCGTCATAATATCCCTCACTCTGATCTTCTCAGTCGTGAATTTGAATTCTCGCCAAGTGAGACCCTCATCTGTGGTAAACAGGACATGGTCCGTCGGTTCCTCATCGTTCACGATCACGATGATAGACCCCGAGTCGCCGAACTCCCAGAGATGAGCGTCCTTGTGAACTTCTTCCCATGTGAACCCGCCGTCCCGGGACAGGAAGGTATCGCTCTCAGTGTAGGCGGCGAGCGATTCACCAACGTTCCCGACTGCCATCACCACGCCGACGATGGATGGGCTGCTATATGTTGCCCGGGCATCAAAGCGTTCTGTATATCCGTGAACGTGGAGTGCACAGCCCTACATACAACAAAACAAGTCAATTGACAGTGATGATCAAAAAAGCACGACATACCACTGATGTACAAGGGTACTTCACACCCAGTGAATCTACTGAAGGGGGTAGAAGCGGCTTCCAAGTGCCACCTGACACAACAAGTAACCGTCAACGAGAGGCAAAAGATACACATAAAAAGGCACACCGTCATTATGCGTAATCCTCGTCTGCAGGACCTTGTGTCCCGTGAGTGCAGCCTCCGCAGGATTGGCTACTATGTTGATAATCGCAATGCCATCCAACCCCACGAGCTTCTCAAAGTCGACAAAGCCACCATTGTTCCTATTCACGTTATCGATGGACAGCCCAAAGTATGTTCCATTGGAGTTGGATTTCAGGATGTTGCCCCATGGCGCTGGAAATTCGTTCATGGTCATGTGTAGGAAGATGGATTTAGTGCTTGACTCAAGCACAGTGTAGGCCTAGAAAGTGTCATCAGCAATTCCAGCGTTTGTATGGTTAGGGCGAACTGCTTACGTGAGAATCTGGATGCATGCCAGGGGGGAAGTTCCCAGAAGCAAACGTACGTCCATCAAGTGAGACCTGGAGGTTAAGCGTGCCCTTCATCGGGAGGTACTGCAAGTACACAAGTAATCAATCAACAGTGCACGCCCGGGACAACCAAAAAAAACCCACCTCAGCCACGATTAAAAACTCCGAAAACTTAGTGAACCCCACGACATAGTCAAAAAGCTTCGTCTTCGTCGCATAATAGCCTGTCCCAGACACAAGTTGCAGCGCATTCTCTTTCCCGAAAAACACCTGTGAGCCCTGTTTGTCCGCATACGACTCGCATAGAATCTGAGATGGATCGATCCGCAGCTCTTCATCGCGTGCCCAGTCACAGTTGACGACATAGTCCTCCACCAACCGCCAATCCCGCCCATTGTTCCATGTGTACTGGGCCTGCGCGCGACAGTTTTCATACCCTGATGATTGACAGTCCACATTACCGATCCAGATGAGATACTCGGAGTTAAGCTGGAAGCGGACCACTTGGGCCCCGAAGGTGTTGGGAGGCGAAGGCGCTTCGGCAGGGTGCCAGAAGCGGCCAGCGTCTGTTGTGTAGTAGAACCTCTTGGAGTCGGTGATAAGGTATGCGCGGTCGTCGCTGTGTGTGTGCATATAGAACACTAGGAAACGCTCCTCTGGGAACTTTTGTTCCCATGTGTAACCCTCGTTACTAGATTGCCATATTGTGAGGTCGGCAAGACGGACAAGGACGGTCTATGGGGGCAGACGTGAGCTGAGGTATTGATACGGTACGATGTACAGGACGCTCACCTTCGAGTCCTTGAAAAACTCGCTCTGTACAATATCACTAGCGAATGGATGCTACAATATCGTAAGTTTCCATACTGAGAAGAAAAGCGAGAACAGAAACACACAATCTGGTGAACAATCTCTCCTTCGACAGGTTCAGCTGTAAATGACGCATGAGACACAGATCCTCCATCGCCTCTGAGGCACTCACCTCCGGAACAGTCTTTAGACATGGGCTCGTCCATGCGAGAGCCACCTTCACACTTGTTCCCAGGGATCTTGCGATATCCTGATGAACCCATGTACTTTTCGTCGGGCGTCCCAAGGGTACACTGGGTACTGGGTATGCGCTCAGGGCCCGAAGGCACACATTTACCATCACTCCGCACGTAGTTATAGTCACTAGAACGTATGAGCAATTGTGATGGGTAGAGTGACCAGGAACAACGTACCACTCATAATCATGTTCCTCGCATGGGCACTTATCATCATGAACTTCCGGATCATGGAACTTCTCGCCCATGTAGCAATCCGCGTTAGCCTTGCGCCTGGTGTACCATTGCTGCGAAGTATATCAGTGAGATCACTCTCATGACAAGGTTTACATCTCAGTGACAAACCTTGGCACCCATGATGCACTCTGAATTGGTATTGGCTCTTGCATACCATGGTTCCTTGTCGTTGGGACCACACTGTGAGCGCCCAAGGGCAGCGAAGTCGAGGTAGATGGCAACGTTACGGCCTTTATCGGGCTCTTTGGACTGCCGCACGACCTGGCCGAGGAGGAGGAACTTCTGAGACGTTGAATCCGATACCGTCGTCAGGCCCCTGGCACGGAATTGGATCCCAACATTGTATGTTTTCCTATAAGGCGAGGCGTTTCAGTAAGATCGCATATATGCACACACAGCGAGCGGCAAGGCGAGAAGGCATACCAGGTCTGGCCCATGTCCGTGGAGTACATGATAGAGTCGGTAGGTTGCTCGTCGTCGACGACGACGATGACACTTCCAGAATCGCCAAATTCGTATTGAGATGCGCCTTCGCGGACTATAGTCCATGTCAGGCCGGCGTTAGTGCTCATGTAGGTGTTGCTCTCATCGTATGGCGCAAGCGCTTTTCCAACGGAACCCACGCCCATGACGAAGCCAGGAGCGGGGGACGAGAAAACGGGGCCATAGTTGTGCATGTCTGTTACTGAGTGCAGGTGCAGCGAACATGGTTCGGAGGAGCAGGTACCGCTAGGAGCGACAAGGGAATTCCATGAGCTACCTGCGAAGACGTGAGGTCAGTTTAAAATTAAAGAAGAAACATCGTTCCTCACCGTCATCAAATGTGATGACCGACCGTAATTGCTTGGCTGCCATCTTCCTCTCAACATCTTGCGCATTGTTGACGACGTTGGCAATACCAACACCCTCAACGCCATATATGGTCTCGTAGTCGACATACCCCATCATGTTTCTGTTCGTGTTCATCAAGCTCTCCACAAAGTAGGTGCCGTTGGAGTTGCTGACGAACAGGGTACCGAGAGTGGTTATGTCGTGCAAGACGACATCTACTGCTAGAGAGTGAACTGTAGACTCGACAATGGTGTATGCGTTCTCCCGCAAGCGCGCTTGGGAGGCATGTGGGAAATGTGCCTTGGCCCATTCCTTGGTGTTCACAGTAACATATAATAGCATGTCACCCTCGCTGCCGGGCGTCACGTCCTTGAGCGCAACCACGGCAAACTTGGACACGATTGCAAATGCCACGACACCCTTGGCATTCTTGCCGATGCCAAGGTCTTCGTTCTGCTTGGTAGCAAAAAAGTCTGTGCTGGAGTATAGACGACTGCTTGCGATGTTGTGCGAGCCAGCCATAGCGGAAGAGTCATAAGCGACGCAGTAGATGAGGTCCTCATGAGCATCATGTTTGAAATCCTTACTACTGTGAGCGAATTGGCAACGGGAGACGTCCTCTAGGAGAAGTTGTGGTGATGAGGCAAATCCATCTTTGGTGTAGTATGTCTACATAGAAAATTAGATTCGAGTAATATGTAAATATAAATAAGTACGCACCACGTCTCGACATTGTTCTCCCCAGGGAATTTGATCACATTTGGTGGCCTGGAAGAGGGTATAGTCCCCCTTTTTGGGATCTGAATGGAATGAGAGTGGTTTTTGGACATAGGCCACTAGCTCGGGGACGTCGAACGTGCGCCATGACCTTCCGCGGTCATCTGTGCGGTAATGCGTGTAGGAGTTTGTTAATACGAATGCCTATAGATAGGATTCGGTCAGATCAAAAGCCACGTCAGTGTGTCCGAGGCAGATGAAATATACTGGAAATGAGGGTATGGACGGTAACGCACCACGCGGTTGTTGAATGGGTGCTCCATAAACATTGCAGCCTCCCCAGGTGGTATGTCATCTGCGCGATTCCAGGTCTTGCCTTCGTCTTGAGAGACATGTATATCCCCAAAGATAGCATCGTGGTATATCACACTCTAGAGAATCAAGTGAATTATTATTAAGTGAACCCTGAGGTAGATATGAATGCCTCACAGTCGTATCGTCGAAAAAGAACAACCGAGTCGGTGCATTGTTGAAGTAGTTTATTTCATGTTCTGGATCAGCAGCAGACGTGTAACCAAAATAAAGAAGAAAAGCAAGTGTTGACCATATAAAAGCGGCTGTCCTGTGCCAAGGAGCCATGCAGGACGTTGTGGATGAAGAAAAGTGTAGTGCACGTTGCTCCCGCAGCCCGCGTCAAAGTGACGGCTGTCATTCACAGCCACACAGCCGGTTGTACCATTTCGGGCGACTAGTCTAGACCTCATCTTAGAAGACAATTTGTTCCTATGAAGCTATGAAATCATTCATTCTTATAGGATGTGTTCTCTTATTGCATACATGACCTAGATGAATTCAAACAGGTATCAAAAGGGAGCTTAACCACGATCTCTTTCCAAATCTTCAGGTCCGAAACTAAACGGAAGTAATTCCTCAAGAGTAGATTCTCGTACTCCACCTTCTTTCTCCAAGTAGGAAGATGCAGCCAATAGGATGGGCATGTCGAGGGGACAAAATTCGCGAATTACTTGACGACACATCCCACAAGGCGCAATTGGCGAGGCAACGTCGCTAGTAGGTAATTGATGTAAGATTTGGAGCGAGGATAATAATGACATACGTTGTGACAGCAAGCGCCACAAACTTACGATGGCCTTCACTCTGATATCGAGATATTTAGTTGCAGATTAAGCCCCACGAACGCTACCAGATAAGGTGGACGCACTACTGCTTTCACAAATGCAGTGCGCTCTGCACAAATAGTACCACCTGTGTATGATAGCAGGACTGATGAGTAGCAAGAGCCAAGTAAAGACCGTATTCACCGTACGAGGCGTTCTCAATATTAGAACCTTTGATGATTTCGCCATCCTCAGTGAGAAGAGCTGCTCCCACACGGAATTTGGAGTAAGGCACGTATGCGAATGATTTTGCTATCAAAATACTTATGAACAGTGCGCTCTTTCAGGTTCTATTGTCAGGGCGATAGACTCGTACCTTCAACTGCGGCTTGGAGGAGGCGATCACGGCTTGAAACTACGCTAGCTGTCATGAATAATTCGTTGGTCGGGATAATTCAAACCAGGATGGACGATCTGATAACTATCGCAGCAGCAGCACACGATCTGATCTATCTCATTAGATGCAAGTCACGGAGTCACGGAGTCACACACTCTAGTCACTAACCGCCAACTTGAAGCAGGGGTATATCTTGAGGCCTCACGCCTGCTGGCAAATTGGTGGCATTAATATGGAAGACATCCGAGGCGTTCCAGAAGCTGATTCATACGAACGATGATGCGGACGATTTATACCGACGGGTACTCAGACTGGGCCATGGTAGTAAGTAACACATTCTTGAAGTACCCAGAAGTGGTCACGTCGATGCGCTGGTGGTGTGGTTCTTCTCCTAACTCATCCTGGCATGTATCTATGCACATTAACTCATTTTCCTACGTGGAAGCCGAGGAATTGACATTTTATGAGAAGATGCTTCCTGCGCGGAGATCATAGGATATGGTTAAGATAAGGTGAATTTGCTGCACGTAGTACGTACCCGCGGATTCCGGAAGCAGATTTCAATTGGCTGTTTTTACAGTCACTAGTTTTCTTCCCTCAATCGATATCGGACGCGACAAGGATCACACTTCCGAACATTCAATCATATGATCACTGGCCGCGCAAAAGGACGCTCGCAAAATACAAGAGGAAGCGCATTCTTTGTGAATTCGATCTCTCGACTGAGCTCAACCATCTCGGCCGTCCTGGTTCTCGATCTCAAGCCTTGGTATTGTCACATAACGCATTACTTCTCTCGAAAAGAACACCGTCCGCTGGCGGGCGTGACGCTCGGCTTTCTCCGTTTTCTTTGATGACGTGAGCGAGGAACGTCATCCGCTTCAGTCACGCTTCGACCGTGCTTTCATTCATTTAGGCCCCCGGAACCGTTCGACATAGAGTACTGACCCCCCCATTTCCTTGCTCTAGATCGCAGCGAACACACCCAGCGCCACCTCCGACTCGCAAGGAGGTTTCTCCGTGGGGGGTGCCGTTGCCCTGACATTGTTCGTCGTGTCCCTCGGTCTCTTCGTCACCTATCATTGGTGGAGGCCGCACATCCCACTCAAGTCGTTTTTCGGCTGGTGCCCTTGTTTTGTCCCGATCCGCACCAACCATCGCAACACCCGCTTCGTGAACTGCCGCTCCACCATCATCACGATGACCCCGATCGTCAGCCATGCAGCCACCAGGGGCACATGCACCACTGCTGCAGCAGACTCGTTCTGCAGCGCTGATGCACGTGCGTTCGAGCAGAGAGCTGAGCTCTCTGTCTCGTCTGATGCCGGGACATCGCAGCCGTCTCAGGCTGCTGGTCCAGGAGATGCCGACCAGTCACTCCCTTTCCCGCTTCGTTTCAAACCGGACGGTGAGCCGGAGATCCACTACCTTCCTGTGTGAGTTTCAGTTCCCTCTTTCCCCCTTTCGCTGAATTTAATGGGTGCGGGTAGCTACACGATGACCGTCAAAGCAATGAGGCAGCAATGCCTCCAGCTCAACCTACCTTTGTCAGGCACCAAGGCCATTCTTCGCGAGCGCCTCGAAGGCTTCAGTCGCGACCGAAACTTGTGGGATAGGTATGTGAAACTGTCATCCGTTTCAGCATGCTCACAAGTCATCTCATCTTCAAGCCTCAGGCCTGGGGCCCGCAAAGCTCACAAAGGCCCACGGACAGGTCCAGCAAGCAAGGCCAAGGCACGCCGCACGAAGCAGTCAACACAGCGTCGTGCTGAGTTGCTTGGTGACTGCGAAATGGCCTCTGACCCCACTGCCACCACCCGCTCCAAAGACACTCGCACTGATGGCTGAAGTCGCAGCACTGTTGCCTTGGGTGAGTAACTGCTTCTTCCTGCCCCCCTCCTTTCACAATACTGATGCGCTGCATGGGCAGGCTGATGCTATCAATCGTGCATTCCCATATGCGCTGACAGATGGTCAGCTTGCACCAGCTGCGAGCACCCTGCCCTGCCCCACTCCTGCGAGCGCTGGTGCTGATGCGAGCTTGCAAGATGCAATTGTCCAGAGTGTGGGCACAAGGCTCGTCAACATTGTCCAAGGTGCCCTCCTCCAGCCGAGTACAGTTCAGGTTGGGCTACCCGAGGCCGAGCCCCAGGATGCGGGCACCTCTGCTGGGTGTACACCAGAAGAACCTGCACCAGCCACGGAGACGAGCACCAAGAGGATGCGAGTTCTCAAGCTTGGGAATGGCACATTGCTGCAAGTGGCTGACGACGAAATCCCAGACCCACCTGCCATCAGTTTTGTCAACGACATCCCTCGGCTCAATGGAATGTGGGATGATCGCACGGAGCACTGGCAGGGCACGTCCATCATCAACATACAAGGCCACCCTGATTGCAATCGAGTACTGGCCTTTGCTCTATCGCTATGGCCATGATCAGCAATGGAAAGGTACGAAAAACAAGTGGACTGACTGGCGTGTATGTGCAAGCTTCTCCTAGCTGGCCTTGACTGATCTGATTTGTTGTTTCACAGGACATCGTTGAGCGGTACCGACGAGGCACCCCAGAACAGTTCTGGGCCAGGTTCAGGGCTGCCAATGGTGAGCCTCTGAAGTTCACTGCCATTGTTCACAGGCTTCGCGAAGAGCGCAAGGAAGCAAACTTTGCACTTGTGGAGCGTGCTCGCGAGGAATATCGCTCAGACTTTTTCTTTACTTACCGAAAAGGAGGTGAGGAGCACACCATGACGAGGCCATCTGCGATTGCAAAGAAATATAAGGAACTCATGGTTAGCAACTCGAAGGAGGTCTGTGATTGATTTGTAGTAGGCTCTACTTGTCGTTACAATGTAAATTTTATCTCGCTAGTATGACCTTATGGACTGTGATATTCATAAACACATTTCCTCAATCAAAGTGTGATAAAAATGTAATCAACACCATTTTCAGCCCCTAGCTGCCAGCCCTACATGCACCAATTTCCCGACTTCTGCTGCAAAAACATGATCAAAAACTTGAGTTGACTTTCATTGTGAATCATTGGCATCAGTCACACATTTCCAATCACAAAGCCTCCATTCTTCGAATGGAGGCTGATTGGAAATGTGCGACTGATGCCAATGATTCACAATGAAAGTCAACTCAAGTTTTTGATCATGTTTTTGCAGCAGAAGTCGGGAAATTGGTGCATGTAGGGCTGGCAGCTAGGGGCTAAAAACGGTGTTGATTACATTAGGGGCCCTCCCAGAACTTGAACTTAAACCGCTTCGACATCACTCACACTTGTAACTTGGGAATCCATCACACTTACAGTATCTAACTACTAGGTACCACTCAAATTTCATCTCCACTGAACAAAGACCTGCACTGACAGCATTACTACTGCAGTCCAACCTACTATACTAGCTGCCATGTCGACACCGTTCAACGAATACACCAGAGACACAGGCAGCAGCAGTCCTGAGAACTTGAATGTTGAGATTCATGCTGTTGATATCCTCCATTTTGCCCGTCTTGGTTTTGCAGCATCCATCAAACTACTCTCAGAGCAACATGGGTTTACCGAAGGTGTCATTCAGAAGGTGTACAGACAACTAGAAAACTATGCGGAGGCCATGGACATCATTGAGATGATGCGAGACGATGCAGAGGAGCGGGCAGTAACTGAGATTTTGAAAAGACACGAGGGTGACAGTGATGAAGACTTAGAGGAGGATGAGGGTGTCAATGGCCCTAAGGAGAGTAAGGATGCAAAACGAGATCAGGATCAGGACGAAGTCAAAGAAGAGGAGGAGTAAACGAGCATGTTGCACAGTTGCTGTCAATATACATGGAGTGCTGTATACTATCTAGGCTAGAGTCCTTGCTGAAAATTGCTTCATCGTCGCCTCGAACATATAAAATTCAGCCACAAGGGCAGCATCTCCCGCAGTGGGGGCACTTGACAGTGGGAGGTCTATCAGGATTGAAGAAATGCTCCCTTGGCTCAACAGGGTCGTCGTTCGATGAGATGAGATATTTGACTATGGTCAGATTCGAAAATTCGGCACTCCAGCCTCCCCACTCACAGATCTTCCTTAGCGCCCAACGTCTTTCGACATGTAGGTACTGGCAGCCTCCTCGTCGGAATGAGTGGGTGCCATATGGGGCCGGATCGATGCCTATGTCCAGCAAGTTGTTGCGGAAAAGCTCTAAGAATTGTTCGGAGGTCTGTAAGTTCATCAGCAATGTTTCTGGCTACCAGAGCATCACCAAAACTCACCATTGGGGTGTTGGCCTCCGCTATGCGGTCACCTGAGGCTATTTTTCGAAAAACATACCCAGACTTGATCCTCGACTCGGACAGCCAGGCTGCGAGGGCTCTGACAGGGCAGATGTGGGCCTCGTGTGGTGGGAAGGCCCACAAGTGGAAGGGTTTGATATCTGGGTGATAGTTAGTAGATATGAAAACAAAAATCAACCTTGGCACATCACACACCTCCATTCTGATGCGTCTTGCGGAAAGGAAGGTGTAGTGTCACTCCCTTCTCGAACACTCCAAAGTCGTGCACCTGGATCTTGAGGACTTCGTCGAAGCGCAGCATGCACACAAATGCTATGGTGTATGCAGCCTGCAGCAGCCTCCGAGCACGGCCGCCGCCCCAGTGGTGTGAGTTGAGGCGCTCGCCAGGCTGGTAAGGCTGAATAGCCCAGTTTTCATTGAGGTGGTTGTGGTGGTAAAGTTTGAACAGAATGTCCTGTGAGGGGTTGACTATCATTATCCATGACTTGGGAGGCCAGACATTGCTCACCGTTGTTATGGCACGGGCACTAGTTGCCACTTCGCCAGCCTTGACCTACCCAGATGTTCAGTAACTGAGGCTCGTCAGGATCAGCATGAAAAAAAAGGTCACCTTGCGACGTCGGAGCAAGCACATGAAGGAGGACACCTCCGTTGATATGGAGGGATTGCCAACCATGACACCACCTCCAACATCTGACTCGTGCCACCACATATTTCCAAGCCCCTGGAGCCTACCAAACGCATATGTCATAGAGGCACGCATCTTTTGGGCATGCCCATATGTCCCTCACTCTTCGTTCAATGGCTTCTGCGTGCCATCAAGGTTGATCGAGTCGCACCTTCGAATCATCATCAGCCTGTCCGAGCCAGAGAGTGTGTCACTCACGAGTTCATGATCCAGGCCACTATCAGCCATGGTGTGTCAGCGCGTGGTCTCTTGCAAAAAAAAACCTCATTTTTGCGCAGCAAGTGCAAGCTAGTGAGGAAAGCAACTGCCTGATTCATTAGCCTGCCATAAGTAGTAGTCCACCTTCAGTAATCGTGAGGGTCAAAGAAAATACGAACACGAACCTCCTGTATTCCGAGTCTGTGCCTTCAGTAACACCTTTGGACGCATCCATGAGCGTGGACTGGAGCTTTGCGAAGTCAATGGTGCTGTCTGTTGGCCTCGAGAGCACTGATTGAAGGGGCGCATCAACGAGAGTCTCCTGCTCAGCAGTGACATCCTCTGCAATGTCATCCATTTCGAGGCTGCTGGCTGATGTGGATGGAAGGAGACCGCATAGACCTGGAAAGTGTTGAATGGACTCGGGTAGTACGGTAGACATGATGGTTTGAAGGTACGAGGGAGCGCTCACCACGAAACCCCTCTCGAAGATGAATTTGAAATCAAGCCACTTGCCTGGCAGTGCTGGCACGCGGTTGGGTTCGAGAACCTGGGGTTGCGAAGGGGGAAGGGACAAAAAAATAAGTGAGAGCCAAGCCAAGTCTGGACGGTCTGGTGACACACCTGGGACCGTCTTAGCGCTCGCTTGGACAGTCATTTTTGTTGGTGGGCATGCCCTGCTATACCTAGCCTCCCTTGGCTTTGCAGGGAGGCGCACTCGTCCACCAGAGGTTTCTCTGCTGAAAAATGACGGTCTCAGTTGCGTGACATCGTGAAACAAAGCATTCACGAGAAAAGTGACTCACCCAGAAGAGTCCGAACACGCTCGATCGTCGCCGTCATGCAAAGCTGTCCATCAGAGAGTCCCTGGAAGTTCTTACTTAGTGCTGGCGAGATACTTGTATTCAGCAGTGAGCGGAGGAGCCTAAAATCGAAGCACACACCTTTTGTTTTGAAATCGGTTGCTAAAACAGCGCGATCCGCCATGGATCCGATTCTCGAGATCCTTGCAGGGGCAGAAGAAGAGGGAAGGCAGGAGATGACGGCACGAGCCACGAGCATACTCGTGCCACCATATAAAAATGGTGGTACTGGTAGCAGTCACCCTCTTCAAAGTGCCGTTCTCTTCCCAACCAACATCCCTTCCCGTCCCTTCTCCAAGAAAACCAGGCTGGCCAGAAAGCACGATGCCTTCGGTGAGTTGCTCGATTTGTTGTGCCTTCGCCTCCGTGATGTCCGGATACCCCCGTGTCATCCGAGTTTCTAGTACGAGAGGTTAGCATTAGCATCAGCGCTGAATGCTCTTAGCGTTCGCAACCAGGCTCACCTTCGTTCTTGATTCTCCCCTTTGTTCCTCCTCCCCATTGCATGCCGGTGGTCGTGAAGATTCGATTCGAGGGGCAGAGATCCAGTGCCGGAACCAGGGGGGGTGGGTCCTCCGCATCGATCGAGCTGACGGCTCGTGTTGGTATCGGTTCAATCAATAGCTTGATGAGGGCATCAGTCACGAACGGTCACGTCGTGACCGTTCGTGACTCGACCGTCGTTTTTCGCGTTTGAAACGAAACATCTATCTACAATATTTAAGCACGAGATACCGCCGGCTCGGGCGCAATTGTGTCCACCACGTCATGCTGTGTCGATGCGCGTTGATAGTTTTGTCTCCTTTCTCTTTCCTGTTACCAGTAACTGACGACAGCATCGACTTACATAGTTCCATTCACCCTCACTCGCCTCGTGCAGATCTCATTCGAAGTGCCAGTGCAATCGTTTGCGACAAACTTCCTACCATCAACAGAGCTGCATGGGAGAGCGTCGACGAACTTTGCCGCATCATATGCAATCGTCCACGAATTCCATTTTGGGGAAAGACTTTCATAGGATTAGGAGAAGCAGGTCCTGTCATCAGCGGAGCAGGAGAAACTGCGACTCTCGCCGCATCGGTGAAGTTGTCGACGCTGTGGCAAACCATTTGAATCCTGAATCTCGACACACCAATACGCAGCATCGGAGACCCAAGATTCACGGCCTTCGTGAATCGTAGACCGCATTGGAGAAGACTGCTATGGAAACCGACAGAATCTCGCACTCATAGCTGCGACCACAAACTTTGACGATAGCGTCGAATTCTTATTTCCTGAACACATTCTCAATGACCCCGAAACGTGTCTATAGAGAGATACGCTGTGTTTGTTTGCGGAGACGAACGAAGAGCAAGACTGTGTGAATATCGTGTTTCCTCACTAGTCAAAGAGAAGACCGAAGGCGAGTCCTTGTACACACCTTAGAATTAGCTTTTGCAGATCGCAAAACAGAATGATGAATGCTGTGCTCGACACTTAAAAAGACTTAGGGATCAATGGAAATTGGTTCTTGTGATCAGATGATTGTGCGATAGTGATACATCGATAATAACTGTCTAATTTGCACCGTAACACAGGTTGTCCAAGACGGAGATAACCTCGAGCTTCTGACCTTAGGCTGTAGCTGCGCTAATAGTTTGAAAAGAGTCGAAACTCCAGGATGATACTCAAGACATACCACGTTAGAGAGCCTTCTTTAAAGAGCCTTGTTGTGTTGGAGGGGGGGAGCCCTTGGTGGGGGGGGCCTCGTTGGGGGGGCCCTCCTTGAGGGGACCGTTGTTGGGGGGAGCCTCGTTGGAGGGGCCCTCCTTGAGGGGACCGTTGTTGGGAGGCTCAACCTCACGGGCTTCCTCCGCAACAATGTCTGTACCACAATGTGTATCTCATTAAACAATATGTAGGTAGCGCAAATACGCCGAAACATACATGAGAATGATTTCGCAGGGGGGTCCGCAACATCACGGGATTTCTCGGCGGCGACGTCTGTGCCACAATCACAATGCACATCTCGTTAGACAATATGTAAACAATGTAAACACGCCGAGACATACTTGTGAATGCCTTATTGGGGGGGACCTCGGCATCAGAGGGGTCCTCAGCAACAAGATCTGAATGGTTTTGACATCAGACATGGCGCAGATAGGATGAGCACACTAGAGCATACACGGGAACGCCTTTTGCGCGCGCTTCTCGACATCTATGTCATCAGCCAGGTAAGTAGTGCACGACAAGATGATGCTAGCGCTGAAGCCTCACCTTTGACGACCGGAGATGCCGCTGTCATCTGCAGCAAAGCAATGGCAACACAAACGAAAGATAAAGTGAGCTTCATTGTGGTTAGATGTAAGCAGTAGCGATCGTTGGAGGGTGTTGAGTGTACAATGGATGCAAGGAGTGAAGCCTTTATATCTTTGGGTAGCTCGATTGTCTCTCAGACTCGCTCGCAGAAAAACATTCATCCTATAATCGGTTTGGAGTGTATATCGTGTGCTTAAGAAAAGCCTGAGCTTTCTTCCGTTCACAACCTGCTTGTTCAATACACCACGATAAGGCGAGAAAGTCTGCCGACAGGGAGGTCCGTATTGTTTCTTGATTGCTTAGGCGAAACGTTCTTCCGTTAGTTGGCTGACACAGAAGAAGGCCCTCGGTGTGGCCAGGTTCATAGTGAGAGCGCAGTGACTGGGAGGCCCTGTTCAACAATTTTGTCAGGTCCCTGGATTGATCAGAAAGAACCACAAACACGTCATGCTGAGCAACAGCGTAAGTAAATCTCCATGACCTGAAGCGACTTACCAATGTCGTGTTTATTGTTCCAGGAGTTGAACGTTGATGTTGCACCAGTGGCATCTCAGCCCGTCCAAATCCAGCTCTTGCTCAGTGCGGCTACATCGACAATGTCGTTCCCACTCGGGCCGAAGATAGTCTTGCAGTTAACAAGCCTTACACTTCACGCTGTGTGAGTACGGCCGTATTGAGTACAGGTTTGAAGTCCCAGACTGATCTCTCGCATAAAATTCGACCTGATGGGAGATAGGTAGCGAGTTTTGTTAAGGCTTAACATTATATACGTGGTCGCGAACAAAGTCGTGTGCTAGTCTTATTAATATTTTATGATTACGTTCCAGACCTTGAAACGCCATCTACCAGATTCCCAAATACCGACCGATCTGCCATGCACAAAGATCACAGTATCCGCGTCATCGCCATCCGACGTTCTTTCTCCATATACAAGCATGATTGTAGGGTTCGCATATCCTACAGGATTAGCGCACACTATCCGATGTCGATGAGAAAGTCACTTCACGCTGACAGTACATAACACTGTCGATGATGTCAACATGACTACGGCATGATTTACCAGTACCAAGCGTTGACACCCAACATCTGTATAAGGTCCTACATCAGTTCCCAATCGATGACTTGATGCCAATTGCAAAGCCCGTGCTGGACTGGGAGTAGGTGCGAGTGAGAAGAATCTATATCTATTAATGACAGGTGACGCGGTACATGGCACATGAATATTAGAATATCTACTGATCTAATCCAAGTCGTAAAGGACATCATTACATCTCTGCCCACAACACCGGCCCCATCACCATGCCCATAGTCCATATCTATAACACGAAAGTCAGTCAACAAGTACCAAAGTGCGCATTAGATGACCTTACCACGTTCAGTGCTTTAATAAAAAGCATCGGGTACTGGTAAACGGGCGGAGCATATTTATTCCCAGGTTTGGGATGCGTGAACAACACCCAAATGGAATAAAGCGCTATGGCAAGAGAACTACGTGCCAGCCGTAGCGGAGACCGAGCGATCCTAGAGATTCCGGGACCAGATCAGCGCGATCACGACAAGTTATCGATATATTACTGACCCAGCTGCTAATGCCATCGGTTCCTCGGAATACTCGGGACCCTTCCCGAAAAACTTGAATGCGCCATCCTGCATAATATCAAACGCCTCGCCTACGCACAATCATAAGCCTTCAATCATTCGACAGTTAATATCGGCGTACCTTCTGCTGCAAATAGGCCGGCCCAACTCATGCTCATGGTATTGATAGTGGATGCGAGCGGTTTTCTTAGGTGGTGCCACTGCCGGAGGACGGAAGAGATTTCATCCCAGTTCTTAAAGCTCTCGAGGTTGGCCAAAAGATCAGAAAGAACGACTGCGTCATTCAAGGCGACCGTCATTCCACCCGCAGTTAGCGGGTGGCGCATGTTTAATGAATCTCCCATTAGAACAGCGCCTGCCTTGCTAGATACTCCTTGCTTCATCGACGGGAGATAATAATGTGGGGCTCGTCGCAAACGCGACGTTTCCAGAGCATGGAGAATGGGCGCGCGTAGCGACGATGGAAGCTGAGGAACAACGTCGCGCAATATATGCTCCTGCAATATTGATAGTCAGACGTGATCACGATCATACAAGACAGAATTACAAACCTTGAGGTCTGCCGGGGGCTCCTTGAACTCAACCAGCATCCGACACTCGTTGTTGGGGAGTTCGTAAAGGACGACCGGTCCAGCGCCTTTCAGGACAATCATAGTGGCACACTTGGCTACTGGTAGCGTCAAGTCTTTCACAAGCAGACCTGCCAAGTAACCCATTTGTGAAGGCTCATACGGCATGTGCCCGAGAACGGCAGTTCTGAACTTGGACAAGCCGCCGTCCGCGACAACGACGAGGTCAGCAAAATATGACTCTGGCTGGCCACCGGCTTGGCAGGTGCTGACACCTACTACGCGCTCGTCCTCGTTCTCGATAAGAGCGGTTACCGTGGTCTCGATGAAGTCGACATTGGGGGCCCGCCGTGCGCGATCCCGTAAGGCCATGACAAATGACCCATGTTCAAAAGCCCGCGCCTCATGGCCTTCAGGGAATGGGGCGTAAATGCCATTATCAGCCCCTCGCATGACGTAGAATGCTGACAGGGAAGCGGATTCAAAATCTCCAAGGCATGACTCCAGACCAAGCTGCTTGAGTGCCATGACACCGCCAGGCTGGAGGAGTTCAGCGACCATACGGTCTGGTTTTGCCATAGACCGTTCAAGTACTGCTATCCGAAGAGGAGTACTACGCTTGCCATACGTCTTCGTGGCAAGGGCATGGGCAAGGGCCGGCCCTGCAATACCGGCACCAATGATGAGCACGTCGTATGATGTAGAGGGCATGGCGGGTTGAACAATCATGACGGGCTACGGTCACCTGGTATTTATCTGAAAAACAGTCTGGCGCAAATCGTTTCGCTTCGGCTACATGGGATGCGTTCAAACATATTCGCACCGGATAATGTGCAAATCTTACCCTGAAGATCGTTCGACACGAGTTGGACAGTCTAGTGCATTGTCACGGTGCAAGCCGAATACTGAATCGGTTGCAGTGTATTCGTGATAGATGCTTGTGACGTACGGTTTCCATTTGTAACGTTTTCAGAAATATGAGATCCGATCACTAAAGCCGTAACAGATGACATTGACTTCCGAGTTGGTCCACTACTAGTAGGTCATTCTCTTATCAGCGGCACATGCTCGGTACTAACTCGTTTCAGAGAACATAGTTCAAGAATAAGCTCGTGCACACCAGCATTGCTCTTTCTGGTATGGCAGTGACCGGTGCGCCAAAATGCATGATACGATCAGGCTGAAATTATTTGGACTAGACCAAATTTTTGACTCATCCCTGATAGTGAGTGGAGTGCTCCGACTAGTCTGAATTGGCGATGCCGACGCAAATTGTGTGTGAACTTGGTATCGCCGTCTTTACGTGCGATCGACGGTACTATAATATAGCCGCGTCAACATTTCGATTTCAACGTCCAAGTTGAAGCCCGGTTTGCGCGGCTCCAGCGCCGGCACACAGTCATGTCGATGATATCATACTGGTTCCTGTGGATATCCGGTTTTGCCGCGTCTTCAAAGCGCCTTTCTTGATCTCTGTCAGCATCTCCTTTCTTTCATTATACTCAGGGCGGTGGCGCTGCGAGCCCTGTAGCGGTGTTTATGGCACGATAATGCCGGCAGGGTCACCTACCTCACGGGTGCCACCGGGAGTTGGAACCGCATACCTTCAAGGGTACGGGTATACACCGACCGGCGGTTTGTAGAAAACACCACAGATACATTAGCAAGACGAACGCATTGACAACAATCAGGTGAATGGACTACTTTGACTTTTCGTCCTCCCAGCTTCGACCTCTGTTTGACTCCCTACAAACTAGGCTAGAAGGTTACTTCTGCTCTGAGACGGAAAAAGGCATGACATGAATTGTTGGTGGTGTAAGTCGAGTCACCGGCCCTACGAGAAGACCCGTTCAACCGCAGTTGACGTTGGTGAACGAGATAATAAGTGCCGACTGATTGAAATAAGATTCGAGGGTACTAACATACCTGGGACAGACAGATATTAGACTAGCCGCATCCGATGAAACGTTGGATAAGTAAGATGTTTTTGCCGCAGTGGTGTCATGGTCAAGCATTTAACGTTACGCGCAACCACTGTAATTTATCAACCCTCTTTCATCAATACACTGCCTTATTTCGTTGCCTTACTTGCCTTCGCTTGGATGCGGTACCATCGTTCGTTACTAATCATGCAAAACCATGAAGATTACTGGTAGTGTGTTCCATATTAGATGGACTCGACTGACCTAGTGCCGTGTCAAGCAAGGGTCGAGGCCGCTGGCGCTGGGTCCGAAGCAGTTGGGGACACGAACGAACGGAAGATTCTAGTCGAAGAAGGCGCCCTTTACGAAATTTCGTCACCTTGCTTAGGGTGCCGCTGATCATCCGATCCGGTTATAGGCTGTAACCTGTTAGCATTCCGAGATCCAGAAACCGGCGTGTTGCCACTCAACTGACGTAATATTTAGTAAAGGCTGGACCCTCGCAAACTGCGTCGGAGAAAGGTACGGCACTTCTTCTCGTCTTCATTACTCGCGGCCTTTGCACAAAGCACTTTTTTCAAACCTAGTGCCCGTGAACGCTGCCTATGATGTTCTTGCATCCTGCTCGTAACCCTTGACAGTCCAATGCTGCTCCCGCTTCTTCCTGGAACCTGCAGTTTAGCTATGCAGTCGCTACCGGTTGATTTCCGCGCCAAAATCTAGCGCTGGATCCCCGTGGCGCTCGCAGTTGCTAATCCCTCCCTCGTTGTTACCTCTTACTCCTTGTCAGTTATCGTTATTGGCGCAGCCTTGGCATTATTTCTTCAATGATTTCCACTGCATCCTGGATTTTTTGCTTCTAGCTTGCAGCTCCACCTCGTGAGTCGTACGCATTACTATAATTACTGTATATTAAATGACCACATAAATGTTCTTGTCTTGTATCGCATCCTCGTCTCACGCATGCACGATTACAATTTCATTATACATCGTCAAGGAGATGTTACACTACAAACTCGAGTTCTGTATAGAAGAGGAAAATGGGTGCACGACTCGGAGGATGTAGAAGCCAAAACGTGATGTATATGGAAGCGCTGCTCCAGGGAATGCGCTCGTCGATGCAGCGACTGCAATCGAGGTCCGTCCGTTGGTGTTGAGCGCGTAGGCTGTAGGAAGATACGCGCGAGGGTGGTGAAGAAAGCATACCGAGCGGTGGTTGAGGTCTTTGCCAGGACTGCCGATCTATGTACTTCGGAACGGTAACAGGGCAATACACCCTTCTCGGAACAATATTCGCTTGGCTACAACTTGGTTATCTGATAAGTATAAGTGGAGCGCTTTTCTAAATTAAACTTGCCCTCTAATTATGCTTCGACTCCTAAATGTTAACAAGAGAGACTATATTTAGATACCGCGACACGATGTGCTGTGCTGATAAGGGAAATCGGTATACCCGATACATTCTGTTTTGGGATGCGCTTGTGTCTCAATGCGTCCATGCAGCGCTCACCTCCTTCGCTCACTCAACACCGCCTACGTCCCTCTCCCACTCATTCATTTCCCCTCTCCCTCCGCTGTCTTCTTCCTTTCCTCTACCTCCTCAAGCTTTATTCTTCCTTCGATGTTTTGCTCGTCATTTTACTCTCTTTTTTGAAAACTTCACAATCGCCAGGATTCCTTTCTCGTGCCCATGATTTCGCTGGATATGAGGTGTCGGGATACTTCTCGCACATGAATGCGTTGACGCGTGAATAGATGGCAATTGCATAATATCTTCTCGCATTTGGCGCGGTTCTCTGCATGGGTAACAAACATTGACAAGAACAAGAGTGTGACAGTAATAACAAGGCCTCGAACACCTCCGAGTCGTCAGCTGCAAATTTGCCTATTACCTGCCCGAGTAGTAGGAACAGCGGCGTTGGTAACGAATAGCACAACGTCAACGTGAACCGCAACGACGCTTTGTCTACACGGTAGTCGCCACCTAAAGCTTAAACCTCAATATACAACTGAGTCGGGTTGTTCATTAATGCATTACCCTTCACTGCTTGTCCAGATACCCACCATCCGCGCTCATCTAATTCCCAGGTTAAGTTTCATCAGCGCATGCGCCCTCTACCCCACCAAACTCCACTCGTGCGTCACACCTACGACTCCTTATTATCCATGCCAAGCCTTGATCGATCTGATCCCCAGATTAGCAGCGTTCCCAAATTAAACAAAATCCGCACAATCCATCTAAGGCTTAGTGTCGACGGTCCCTAGAGACGATGATCAGATCCTTGAACACCGTCGCGGTGTGATGCATCTAGAATGATAAGGTCAGCAAAATGTGATTCTGATTCAAGGCTGACCACCTGCTTGCAAGGCACGAACATCGCCTTATCACCCACCATGCGCTTCATTAATCAACCTTGTTGTGGGGCCCCATCAATCACGACAGCGTCGGGTAGCTGCAGTCACAAGGCCATGGCAAACGATTCGTAATCGAAAGTTCCATCTTAATCAAGGTAATCAGATTGATGATATCATGATACCGTGACAACACTGAATTCATCAGCGAGAAAAGATCGAGGGTGCCTGACATTCAGCTGCATATGCGTTGGTGTAAGTAATATACCACGAAGTAGTACTTTGAGTTAGTACCTACTACTTGATAGTAGGTTACGGACGAGACCGAACGAACCTAAGAGCCGCTGTGGCGTGGCGCACTCGCCGATCACTTCATCATGATGTGAGTCAGTATCAGTGATAAAGTCCGAGGGCGTTGACACCGGATTCGAGGTATGCCGTTCCGAAGTAGAACGTTCTGGTGATCCTTCATGCCAATGTCTCGGGCTTCTCTGGAGCCAAACGCGGAGTTGTTTTCAACTCCACCTCGGACCAATCAATCTTATCAGATCAGATTTTTCGGACATGTTCCATCAAAATTCTGGCACATCAAGCATTCATATGGCATTCTACAGCCGTCTACGCCCAGATGCAAGTGATGACCTCCTGTATGCAACATAACGCGGACTATCACATACCAAACCAAACCGTAGGTCAGCCGAATAATATCATATATCTGCAAATCAAGAGGAATGGAAGTAAATGACGAAGAATCTGAACTCAAATATCAAGTTCTCATACCCCTTGGACACTAGACTGACAGGCCGCCATTCATGTCGGTAAGTCCCGCTCGGTCGTTATGTGGGCCATGTCCACTGATCGGGCATCATATGCCTATCTTGACAGTGTCAAGCGGCTCGTCACACAGCATTCAAACCTGTGCGTGTAGAAACAAGGTAACTGATGTATGTATGCCTCGGAGGGATCTGCGAAGTGCAGGAGCGATAAAATTGGATGACGCGCGCTAGAACGACGGAGATTCAGCGGATATCGCTGGTGTGAGTAGTCTAGTATGAGATGGACTAACGTACCGGGGGCTTGTAAAATTTCAAATGGTCGGCCCCTATCGCAGTTAGTGTACATGTAGCACAGATGAAGTTGCGGTGTTAGACCAGAGAGATGAACGTTCTCGTTTCTAATACAGGGGGAATCCCCTACTCCAACAGATATATATATTGCATAGATACGTTGTGCGGAGGAGATGAGATTTAACTTTGTTGGCCTCGAACCTCGGGACCATCAGAATTCTCAGAATTGACCTCTATGAATATTTGAGGCAAACATTGGGAGACTCTGATTAGGCTTAAATTAGAACTCGTGCGCTGAATTCTAGCCTAGGGATTGCAAGTCAAGGAGGCAGCTCAAACTAGGAAAGACTTCAACAAGTCTTAAACCTAGTCTCTAATGTTCCAGGGCTGGCTAGTCGTGGAAGAATTAATGGGGGTCCGAAAAGACGTATGATACGGCAAAGTTGGAAAAGTATTTTGTTTAAGTTTGCTATAGAATGGACCAAATTTCGCGACCGCATGGTACGTACGTCTGGCCAGAGTTGTGTTACAACACGTTTTATCTGATTAGGAACTGGCCATGCATGCCATGGAGCGCTAGAATTACATTCCGCGCTGAATATTCTATCTTGCGTGATTTTTGCCGCTTGGTACCCGGGGCCCATGTTAGGTACCGAGTCGGACATTCAATTACGCGCTTCTTGTAACCCTTGAGGTGATGACATCACAACATACCAGTGCGCCCGATTGCGTCGTACCCAACACCGTGACCATGTCGAACTACATAGGCCCTCGAGCAAGCAGAACTTGAACCTGTTGAACAACCAGAAATGCGTCAAACCTCCTTGGACAAGCTATATAGTACTAGCATGTTTTACCTACCAATGGCGACCGGTCAACCGGTCCCAACCGACAATATTGAATAAACACTTGTCGGCAAAAAAAATCGTACGTTTGCACCAGCAGCTCAAATTCGGTGCGAGTTCAGCGTCCGACATTGATTAATATTGCTTTCTCCTCGTGTTTAGCGCGCGCCGCCCCTGACCGGGACGGTGACTCTCCGAATTAAACCTTCTAGTTCACCGCATTCTGTGAGATGCATCGTGATGACACGAACGGGCCAACGATTGAATACTAGTACGTCAGTTTATTTTGTCTACTAATCGATCCACCTGGATCACACTTACTAGCATTCTTCACCTTGCAAACTTATCGCCATGCCCTTCATGGCAAGAGCATTGTTCGACCTCACTACTAGGCTTCACTGGTTACTACTAGTGGGGTACGACTTCCCTTCGCGGTACTAGTAAGATGAATAATGAAGCCACCCATTCGATCGTTCATTCTAACTCATGTGATGCCTAGCTTGGGGTTTCTTGGGCTGCCCCGGCGTCGGCGGCCTGTCGTGTGGTGTTGCGTACGAGCGACGATGCGAAAAACACCTTGTTCTATGCATCGCTAGGCGTACTGATACACAGCGCAGGCTGTGTCACATCTACATATCGTAAGGACGGAAATTTGACCACACGGAACCGATTCGCGTTGACACCATGTGCGTGCTCCAGAATAAGCACGCGATCACTTGAACAAATCCGGGTCAGTGCCCATAAGACTTTCCATTTATGACTCCTGCCAGATTGGCTATTGAATATCTTGGACTTTCATCCGCTAACATAACTCGGAGGACGGCGGATTGGATGATGTAAGGTGAAGAGAAAGAGCCCTGTCGTTTTTAACCTCGCCTGAAGGGGTATATTGTAAGCCCACTATCCATCAACTACGATGTACTGCCTATTTTACACGAGTCAAATGAAAATCCCGGAACGCATAGGATTTGTCGATAATTCGAGTGAAGGAAAAAGTGCAACGTATTCTGCTAGCTGTCCATCCGTTGTCACCACCCCACCACTAAAGAGCAGGCTCTCCAGACGACACTGCGACCGTGTCAAAAACGCCTTGAAATCTTCGTGAGGCCATTGGCCTGTATTGCGAGCCTCGAACGCACGTAGATTGGGGAGCGTGATGGCTTTGAATTTGTCGATCGAGTCCACATGCAAATTCCCAGATATGCGAAAGGTTTGAAGTTTGGGATGGACGAATGCTTTTGAGGTCTCGATTGCCGTGAATATTCCAACTATCGTCAAGGACGAGAGATTGGGACACCAACGGAGCAACTGCGCAAAGGGGTTTGGGCCGTCTAGGATGAGCTCCAGATTTGTGAGACCGGCCCATGAGAGAGGTTTGAAGGAAGATAACATGTGGACGGTAAGCACCACGTTCATTAACTTGAGACTGCGCATGTTAGGCGGCAATTGTCCGATAGATTCCGGAACAGCGAGCACAGTATAAAAACCGTGTATGACGAGCTCATTTAGTCCGCCGAAGTCTGCGGCCGCCAGTGGACAGCAGGTACGGGAGAATGTCCTAACAGTCAGCGACGATACTTGATTGACATATGGCCGGAGCAGGCTTTGTAGCTCCGTCAAGTTGTCGTCATAGCACTCGAGTGTCAACAACAGCTGACGTCCTCGTGATCGTTTGAGGCAGGAGTCGTAGCACAAGGCTCTCTTCCGCCAGTCACCGTACCCGACGTTGAATTGTAGCCTGCGCCATAGATCTGGCATGTCCAGAGCAACCTCCCGCCATCGTCGACATACTGCGGTCAACAGCATGGGTGCCCGACGTGGCACAGGCTTCCAGTTTCCTTCTGGGATGCAGTACAGGAAAATTTGGGCGAGCATTTCCGTGGGCAAGCGCGAAAAATAATTCCTGGACCGCGCAATCTTGAACAGCATTTCGTTGCGTTGCCGGCGACGATAGTTGACGCCGTTTTGGTTTGAGACCTCTTGCCCGACTACACCCGACTGCTGAAGTGGATGATTATTAGTATATTCAGACGCCAACACTCCCAAAACCGAACACTTACAATACTCTGCAGGGTACTAATGGTACCTGAGATGGCTGATGAATTGGCGTTTGTTTGCATATCGACACGAATGAGATTGAGATGGAGATCAGAAGTAGAGAGTGATTTTGATGTTTCGTCAACCGTCGCATCCTATTTAACTTGCAACGTTTCGCAAACCACATGTCCACGACGTCCACACCTTACTATTGTAGTGGCTCATAGCGGGTCTTATGTAAAACACCAACCATCTACATCTTGTTGCAAAGGGAGTCAATGGGAACGTTTATGGAATCTGTGAGAGGGTGACCTCGCTCACCGGTAGCCTTCGACACACTTGGTCGGCGTTACTTAGGCCATCCGAGAACTTTTCTTTTCATGTGGACGACAACTGAGGGTTATAGAAATTTTCGAGTTGTGCGCCACATTGTCACGGTAACTTTGAGTTTTTGGTTGCCGCATCTGCAAAATTTGTTCCGGACACGGCTTACGAACTTCGGCTATATTTGGTTCTCAGAAAACTTTGCGCCTGTTCGTTTCTTGCAGCTTCGTCTAGCTCGGGTCGATGTCATGATCTCATCGGGCTGGTCCGAGCGTCAGCTCAGGGTGAGACGCAAGCAGATGGAGGGCGGGACAACTGCTTACGGATTTGATGATGCGTAATGACTCGATAGCTAGTTTCACGCGATGGACGGGAGCGAACAATGGGATGATAATTAAAAGATCGGTAGTACGAAACAAGGAAACTACGGAGTACTGACAAACAAAATCTTTATAGAACTAAAGGGAGTGGCGGGCGGGGGGTGAAAGAACGGATGTCTGTTCGAGTGAGGAGTAGTGCCAGTAGGTGCGACGAACTCAACGTCGCGTATAGAAGAGAAAGAATGGCGCCACCGCTCAGCTGGATGCATGGTGCCGGGATATTCCGGCAGGCGGTATACCTGAACATGGATTTTCATCGGTGAGGAAACTATACATCACAGTTTCTTGCGTATGAGTGACGATGCGAAAAACACCTTGTTCTATGCATTGGTAGGCGTACTGGCGCACAGCGCAGGCTATGTCATAAATTCAATATACTGTGACTTCAATGTGACTTTGATCGCAAAGTTGGTACATCTCACTGGGTTTGCCATGACCGTCATGACCTGTCTCTTGACGTTGTTCTACACGGAATAGAACATCTGAAGGGCCGACCAACTAGGCTTCAATCCTTCTGACAGTTCTCGCTGCCGCCATCGTTGACATTTACGACCGCTGGTACAACGGCGTGAATGATTTGAGCTCTGTGACACTGGTGTCATTGGTCTCCCTGCTCGAAGCAGGGCCTAATCCCGCTTATGAAACGATGGATATACTGGCCTTCTCTGTTCCTCCGAGTTGGTACGGTCAAAGTTTTTAAAATTAATAGATCAACTTACTTGGTTCCAACGTTTTCCTCCTCAGGCTGGTCGGGCCGTCCCATTCACTTAGGTTGTAACGACGGGTCAGTTCAATTAAGGCATGATGATGATACTACACATTGCAATTGTGTCTTGCTGGTAAGTCCGGATGACGATGGGTGTGTTTTGAATTGTTGACAATGCCCCCGTAGCTTTACGACACCATCCACGTGTGTCAGGTGGCTCGACCGAAGGTTTTGCGGCAGCATCTTGTGTTTATCATAATAGGACAAAAGGAAGGCCGGAGTCAGGTTCACGGCAATCCGTGCCAAGGCATTCGTCCTGCATTGTGTCTATTTGATATGTCCTTCGTTGCATGCCTTTTGCATACTGTACGGTACTCGAACAGCAAGCATCCCCCATTCTACTGTTGCGCTGTTCCTGCTGTGTCTCTGGTACGTGTGGTCATTTGACCATAATGATACCACATACAGCTGGAAGAAAATACAAGTACGGCTAACCAACATATCCACGTGCGCTAATTTGAATGTTCGGTTGTATTCTAGACAGGCCGTCATGGCGCGGCTATGGTCTGCACTGGATTGGTGGCGAACCACGAACGTGCATCGCTCAGCTTTCGAGCAATGAGCATGCACTTCTATCTCACTTGATGACCTCGGGGCTTTATCTGTTCGTTATGCTTCGAATTCTCTTCGAATAGATAATAAACATTAGCCCGATAGCCACATACGCACCAGGGATCGTTACATCGATTTCATGTCTCCACAATGTCAGCACGGACATCCGGCGGCTCGGTGGCGAACTGTAATGAGTAACGGTTGATATTTGGGGTGAAAACCAGAATCGACAGATATCAGTAATAAAGCTTAAAGCCCCACAAATTTGAAGTCTGCATTCTGCACCAGACTTTGATGCAAAATATTTACCGGCGAGAATGTGTGAGAATTTGAAAATCCGACGAAATTCAGTTGGCGAAAATGTGTGACTCATATCCTCCCGATAACTACAGTTGGTTACTTGTTCGAGACTTATAGAATTAATCGCGCGCGCTGCAGTCAATGTCAATGCGTGTGTGCTGCGCAGCGCTTACTCACCGCAACATCAACAATCTCCAAGTCTGCACGTCGTCACTCAGCTCAGCTTCCACATCCTCCTACCGGGTCTCCAGATGCCCAGGCTGTCATATGTGTGGTGCTCTTGTGAGAGCTACAGATGTCGAGATAATCCTGATGCAAGTGGTCAGAAACTACAGGCCGTTCAGACAGCTGCAAGACATCATGACGCTGATCAGCAGCTCCGCGATGCTCGTGCCGCTGAACCAGTTGATGATGTCGCTTCTGGGCATGACCTACCTGCGCATGAGCCCTTTGGAGCCGACGAACCATTTGCGCATAGTGATGATGATGGGGAAGTGAACTTAGACCATCCTGAGCTGCTAGACAACCTCTTCGAGACGTGGAATGAACCCCCCAATGTTCAAGGCCCAGATAACTTCAGCACTGACGAAGATGAAGAAATCTTTCAGCGACTTGGACGGTCCAATGCACCAGAGGATGATGTGGAAGATCCCGCTGTTCCTGATGATGATCCTGGCGCTGTTCCTGAGGATGGTGATGGTGTCCCCCGTGAGGATGAGGCTGTTGCCGCTATTGATCTCTTTGTATCACAGGGCACCCAGTTTGATTTCTCGGATGTCCAAGAAGCAGCGGATATTCACGCTGACCCTCCGTCATGCATGGACGACCACCCAGCAGTCCGCAATGCATACATACGTGCATTTATATCCGCAGCTTTCTACAATGCTACTCATGCGGCGGTATATCACGATCTTGAAGGAAAGGAGCGCCTTCTGCGCACCGCTCAACAGGCCAACCCTGATATCGAGTATCCAGGGCTCGATAACTTTGCCCGCACACTCCCTACCCTCCTCAGACGACTTGGTCTATCAACAGATCAATTTATTGTCTATTTTTTCGTATGTGATATCTGTTGGAAGCTACACCATCCATCAGAGCTTTCTGAGCTACTTTCCCCTGATTGCACTGTCGCTGATTGTGACGGATCATTGTACACCTCGAAACGACTCGCTGATGGCACCCTCAAACGAACTCCAACAAAAATCGTCCCATATGTACCTCCCGAACGGGCTCTCCAGCGATTTCTTCTACGACCAGGCAAATGGGACCAATTCCAGCACTGGCGTGGCCCTGAAGACCAGCCAGGTCGTGTCCTTCCTATTCCCGGTCGTGGATATGATTCATTTCCTGACCCGTCTAAGCCAATGAGGGACATCTATGATGGGTATGGCTGGCGTATGATCGAAGCGGGGCTAGAGCGTCGAAGAGGTGGGCGCTGGGAAATAGAGGATGTAGACGTGCATGAACTTCATCAACGCTTCGTTTCGCTACCTTGCGGACTGGTCTGGCAGATCAATATTGACTGGTATGTCTTTCACGTCGTCTTTCACCCTCTACGATTTGATACTTACACTAGGTGCTAATTGTTACAGGTTTCAAGTGGTCAAAGGAAAATCAGGCTATCATTCCACGGGCGCATTTTATGCTGTTATCTGCAACAATCCGCGCTCTATTCGTTATCTTCCGGAAGAAACAATCCTTGTTATGGTTATGCCAGGACCTGACGAGCCATCGTTAGAGGAGATGAACTATCTCTTAGAACCGTTTGTGGAGAGTATGCTTCGTTTGGAAAAGGGTAAGTTTTCTATAATTCGAGTCTTCGTAACTGTTTTCAATTGACGTCCTACAGGAGTAGAATTCACCGTTCATGGTCACGATGATCCGGAGGTGTCACACTCTCATCTGTACTGTAATGTATCTGATCTCCCGTCAAGTCGCAAAGTGACCGGCCTCCAAGGTCATAGTTCAAAGTTCTTCATGTGTCCAACATGTAAAACACCTTCCTTCTCGCTTGCTCACCCTAGTTGTTTCGATCCGTCAAGTACATATCTCACTGCGATACACTGCTCAATCACTGCTAACATTTGCTCACATAGACTTCAAGGACCGAGATGACTGGAGGTATATCAAGTATTCGTTTCGTTCACGTAATGCAGACTCTGCGACTGTCGACACCATTCATGAGAATCGAGGCGTCCGTTGGTCTGCCCTCAATTACCTTCCAGATTGGATGCCTGCTCGTAGCTCTGTCGTCGAGTTCATGCATGCCGTGTTTTTGTGTAAGTTTCAAGGAATGAAGTTGCAATTCATTACTGACATATCAAAGGTTTGGTGAAGCATCTTAACAGGATCATCCTCATCAAGTCTGGTTTACTCAATGGAACGAGACTTGTCAAGCCAATGGACCGACTTGAGGCCTTTTTTTCAGGGCTTGTCTGGCCAGTCGAAGCAAATCGTTTACCACCTTCAGTCAGTGTGTTATTTACTCTTCGTTGTCCACATAATAATCTGGTTCATAGCTTTCAACTGGCAAGGGATCACCTAAGGCGGATCAGTGGCGCAATCAAATTGGAGTCCTTTTTGTCGCTCTGTATGATGCGTGGGCAGTCGACGGCGAGATCCCAGATCGCGATGCACCTCCCTCAGCGTCTAATACCAAAAACTTCACTGCACAAGCCACGATGCAGAAAACTCTTCGCTCGCGGCTTATGGAGCATCTCCTTGCTCGCAATGCAAATCCTTCTGATGCTGAGATCGCTCGTGTTAACTCTGCAACAATGGATCGTAATTTACGTCGCCATTATGCTGTAATTCTCGAGTTCTCTGCTGCTGTGCGCATCCTGTCATCTCAATCTATCAGTCCGGATGATGTTCGCAGAGGATGTGCAGCGCTGTCTCATGCCACACAGAGCTGGGCTCGCATGGGATGTCACTTGACCCCATACTTTCATTTTGTTAATCACTTTGAACAACAGATGTACGAATTTGGACCTTGCTATGCAACATGGGCTTTCGCATTTGAACGACATAATGGCAGGCTCGTGAAGATCAATCACAACCAGCATAAAGGAGGAGAGCTCAAAGCTACACTGATGCGACGATGGTGGAACATCACATTTAATTACGAACTCGTACGTTTTGACGTGCATTCTTCATTAAACTAATTTTCTATGTCCATCATCAGATCCTTCATATAGAAGCTCTCCCTAACCGAACCGAGGATGATGAAGACTCCCTGCGTCTTCTTCGGACATCCCTGAAGGCACAAGAGAAAACCAATGTCATTCAAGGTCTGTCTTACCCCCTCTCTCATGACGTGAAGTTGTCAATAACATCTCATTGTGGACTTGGATACACACAGAGGAATTGACTTTCGCCAAGCACCCTAAAAAGCTCTATCTGTCGGCAATCAGTGACGATGTGTATCAAATCACGTATGAGTACCTGCGCAATGAGTGGAGGGCGAGTGTCCATCTCAAGACTTCTATGAACATCTTGGGAGATGGCGAGAACTTTATGGGCCACACCAGATCGTACTCTCACTTGTGGTTGCGGAGACTTTGTTATGGTTCTGCAACTGCTCACCGAGGAAAGTCTGCCCGTTATGCATATATCAATGGACGCCATCCTGTGGAGATTCAATACCTACTACAAGTCACACACGATAGACGTAATGTTGATGCAGCACCCCTTGTTGCGGATCTTGCTATTGTATGGCGCTTTATTTTGGATGACAACATACCTGAGTTTCCATGGGCGCTTTGGTGAGCACATTCTAATTGTGTCTTACCATACTTACTATGTTTCAAGGGCGATAGATTTAGGTGTTTCTGCGTGGTACGCAGACCAGCTTGGTGATTTGGAGGTGATTCCTATCAACACTTTGACGGGACACTTCATCCTTGCTCCCATTGAGGTACATGACCAAATGCTTTGGATCACAGTGGTGTATGATCATGTACGTCTCTCGTTTTATCATCCAATCAATTCATACTAACAGTTTAGAACACTAGGGCAACCCAGAAGCAGATGTGGACATTGACGATGACTGAACCATTACCGATATAACATTTTCTTGGAATGATACAGCTTGATTGCGCAAGAAGTCTCTCATACTAGGTTACTAGGCATTGTACAAGTCCTCATCATCCTCGTCAGCTAGTGGCTCTCTTTCATCATCTGCTAATTCTTCATCGTTCAAACCTTGTGATATGGCTTGGGCTTGTTCAGGTGCGCCTGCGATAACTGCATTTTGATATGATCAACTCATCAATTTACGTGCAGGCAATGCTATGATAATAGCGACATACCAATGCTTCCATCGTACCTCAATGGGTCTTGAGGGTGCATATGCAGCCACTCAGGATTGATCGCACCAAGGGGTATCTTCGAACCCGTCTTAACATATGGCAAATCTCGATCACGTGGATCACCAATGATGCGTGGATGACGACGGCTGAATTTTTTGTCCTCGAGTGCGAGGCCATTGAGGTGATCCATGGCTTGATTGAACTGATCCGATTCAGCTGCGTGCTCGTCACATACTTGTGGAGTACGCACCAACAACGACCGGTAATTTTCACGGTGCGTAATCCATGGTTCCTTAGATGGAGCTTTTCGCTTACCCTTGGCCTTTGCAAGTGGCTTCTTGCGAACATCCTTTTCCTCATCTGTGTCTGGGTCAATTCCTCCATGTTCATCCTCTGATGGCATGCTCTCGTCGGTGCTCTGATACACTAACTGGAACGCATAATCCCATGCAGTGGACATGAGACTTGATGCAGGTCGCACGTGGTTACGCTCCTCCAATTTCTCCACGAAAGTCAGTCAATGTATGTGAAGCTTATGAGAACCTTACAGCTCGTTTGCGTGCTTCACGTCGTGCTACCCATGAGTCAACCTTTCCTTTTACTTTTCCTGTTGTTAACGAGATTTTGTTGGCACTGCGGTACTCTGCTGCATAATACTTGAAGTTTTCGTGGAGGCACTTGAGGATGTCTTCATCCGTTTTTGAAGCGAGAAGCTCCTGGGAAACGATTGGGTGACATGATCTGATATTGTGCTTGATATACTGTATAAGGTGAGTGTGCCACGATGCGTTTTCGCTCCAGTCTTTGCTAAAGTCGGGCCGAACTTCGTCCCCTTTGATTTGTACGCCATCGTTGTGCGGATGGTAGGCCTTTATTGCTGATGGTTTCGTAACACCAATGCCTTTCAAGAAACATTTGCGGACTCCTGTCTGTCTACAACGTGAGTGAGTGCTGTTTAACCCTCACTCGATCACTCACGTTCCAGATATTATCCTTTGAATTGTCGCTAACCGCCTGTGCTGCCTTGGATTTGGATGGCTCGCTACTTCCTTGAAGCGATTTGGTAATGACGTCGACATTTGAAGAGACAGAATCAAGCAATGTGCGTGTTTTTTCGACATCTTCTCCGAGCTGATCGTGTCCATTGTGTAGTGTTTGAAGCTCCAGACGAAGTGTATCTATCTCGCGAGCTTGTTCATCTATGATGTCAGTAGCTTCATCCTGCTTCTCCTTCAGGGCCTTCATTTCATTCTCCAGGCGCATGATTGTATCCGTAAGCCACTTCGGGATGACAGCTCATGTGCCAATGGTCGGTTTGGTGAGACTCGCAGTTCCTGCACCCTCTCTATTGGTTGCTGATACACGCGAAGCTACAGATGATGAATGCGAGCCATCTGGAGTCGTGAAAGCTGTAGACAATGTGAGTGATGAACTCGTTAGTGTCGGTGAAATTGAATTGGTGTTTTGTGGCGTAGCAGATCGCTCTCGGGTGCTCAACAACATGTTGAAGGGATTGGTGCCAGTCGGACGTGTAGACAAGGTATCAAACGGACTCTTGATGATTGCAGCACTCGCTAACGTGAATGGGATTGATTGATTCATAGCGGGAGGCGGCATTCTCTCGGTGTCTGGGTTGTAGCCTTGTATCAGTGACGGCGTGTCTAGCTCGTGTGGTGCCTGAAGTGCAGGATCGATGGGTACGTCTGCAGGTCCAGATGAACGATTGTTTACTTCTGACAGCTTTGCCTCCATCGCATCAGGACGCATATATGCATCATAACGCTGGTCCTGTGGCAACATAGCGTCGAATGACTGCGGCGGATGGGGCGGGATGGATTCCGGAGGAACTAGGTGAGCTACTGGCGCCGTCTTATGACCAATTGGAGGTGTTGACACGGATTCTAGTGCTGCAAACGGGTTTTTGAACCCACCTGTGGTCTGTGGCTGCTTCCTACCACGTTTGGAGGCTGTTGACACATCCCCAGCTCCATCATCCAGCTTCCTCTTGTGTGCAGCCTTGTCCCCAGCCCCTTGACTCTCTTCTGGGCTCGTTTCCTGGTCCAGCGCACTGTGTGAGGCAACCCGAGGCTTCCGAGGAGGCATAGTATCGGAGATTGTTGTGTTGCTATCCAGGGGTCGGATTGCACGTCAAAATAGCTTCAGTGGGCTTGTCTGGACGCTCAGGAGCTTGCTCAGCAGTACAGGCTTTCCACAGAGGGCTCTGATCGTTGCAGAAGAAGGAAGGAGGCGTGTCGCAGGGGAATATGCTGTATTAGGCTACATACGGACAAATATTTGACAGGTGAATAGTTAGGGAGAATCTCAATTTTTTGCCGTTGAAAAGTATCAGATAAGGGCTCATTCCGACGATTTTTGGCTCTTCAAGATATTGGCGATTATTTGCCTGAATATCGTCGGATATTTGCTCTTTCCGACGATAATCCACCGTTGGTAAATTTGCGTCAAAGTCTGGTGCTGCTGGCAATACGTACGTTATATGTTTTGTCTGAACTATGCTATTCATAGGCACAGACTGAGAGCTGGCATGCAAAAGCAAGCAGCATGCCCTCAATCCAGGCATATCGTTCGAGATCTCATCACCTCACACGAACCATGCGTCTCTCCTTCGTCTGGATCCTCGGCACTGTCTGCATTGCGGCTGTCTCGTCTATGCCTGTCAGTGAAGATGACCTTGCATGCCCCATGCTTTGCAATTCATTCATAGACTGCTGCGTTAGACGTGAGTGTCTGTCGATATACATACCTAGCAGTGTAAGCATGAGTGGGTTTCTTTGTGGAATTGCCCTACTGACCTGCTTCGTAGGAACAAGTTATAAATGTATGTCGACTGGTGGAGTACGAAGAGTTTGCTCTGCAGAAGATTTAACCATGTTGACTGTCCTAATAGCGTCGTTTTGGGACCGCCTACACAGGATGAGGCAAGCCTCAGCAACTGAGCAGCACGTCGTAACCGTACTAGTACCAGCAGTGTATGATGGGTACTGTTCTGTGTTTCAAAGAGGATAACCTTGAATCATTAAATCATAAATTAGCACAAAGGCAAAATTTTCAGTTAGGCGTTTTCATTTGAAGGACAAGAAATGAGAGACTGATGAATTTTGATGGCGGTTTTAACGATGGATGATCTCTAACTCATCGTCCCATATACCGCGAACCCAACCTACACGACCACCTCTCCGCTCACGCACCCCATGAACAGCGCATCTACACTACCGCCTGTCTTCTCATCCAGCCATGCATCGAACTCCTCAAATAGTTTCATCGCTTGATGTCCATCCGCGTCAGCCTTTTTTGCGGGCCACATGCGCTTCTCCTGGATCCCAATGAAGTCCACCCTCAACCCATCCACATCAGACGATCTGGGATGCGCATTCGGGGGCGGCCACTTGATCGTCATGTCCACCGTCCATACGTCAGTCCCGTAGAATGACGCCTCTTTGATGTGGTGTCGTGCAAATTCCTCCGGTGGGTTGTTATCTAGCGTCCACTCCAGTACATGCGCATCGAATGCAATCACTGCAAGAAGAATTTAGTCTACGTGACACCAAGGTGACCCAGCATATATATATAAACTTACCAGTCCACATTATCCCCGGGTGATCGATCTTTAATGTCATAGTCCTGGTTCCCTTACTCTCATCGAGGGTATCATTAACAGCTGAAACCGTGAACTGCTCTTCTGGCGGCCAAGGAGCATCATACGCCGGGTCGAGCGGGAGGTCAATCTTGTACGGTGAGAGGAACTGCGTGACGTTCAACAAAGACGCCGTGTTCGATTGCAAATTATTAAACCATACGTCAGCATCCCCATAAATGACGGCTGAATGTTGTTAAGTCTCACCGCTGAAAATGGATACAATGTATCCCAATCACTGTTCCAGTCATCCATGACAATAGCCTTGGGAGGCATCCCAGCTGCGCCGAAGTGTGCCGTGATGTCATGCACCAAATCGTCAAAGCCAGGCGCGCCATCTGCCGCTGCGATATGGAGGTGCTGCTCCCGTGTGTTCAACTAGATCGTTCCTGCTCAGCTTCTTTCACAACCTACAGGGCAACTAGCACTCACGTCTTCCTTATGAAGAACAAACAGCCTCTTTTGATGATTTCTATCAAATACCTCCTTTCTGGCAAACACTGCCATCACTACGCCCACTACAAGGAGTGAAATCGTGACTGCTTTACGCAGAACAGGCAGATCAAATCGGTGAACGAATGGCGTAGTGAAATTAAGCGTGTAAGAACCCAAGACCGCCACAATGGAAGCGATGATGTATTCTGCTGGAGCCTCAGAGCCAATACGCCCAGTCTGTGAAAGAGGTATGAGGAGGGAGGCCCATGGAAACATAGATCACTTGCCAGCGGTACGAACACAACCAAAGTCGCAGAAGCCAGTTGAGTCCCCGTCAACAATGGGATGGTCTGGCCCAGAGCATATGTCCATAGGCTCACCGAACCGTCTTTGGCCTCCGGCTTATCCACCTTATTGCGCCCACCCTCCGCTTCTTTCGCATCCCCATCTCGCATCTTTTCTGCTGCATGCATCATTTCTATTCCAGCATCATTTACGGAGGAGGCGCTCAAGTAGTAAGTCACCCGATCGACAAGTAAGGCCCCAAATGTCGAGAGTGCACTAAGGAAGAACACCGCGCTTGATCCAACACCAGCGAACTGGCCCGCTACAGCCAGGAACGCATAGGCAAGGAGTTGTGCATGCAAGATGGCTTTTTCAGGGACTGGGGCCAATGGCAGTTGAGTTATGAGTGCTCCTGCGTGAATAAGTTTGTGTGAGTCATGAGGCCAGGAAGGCATTGAAACGAAATAGACATAATTCTGGGTACAAAACACGAAATAAGATCCGAGTGAATTCGAGAATAGGCTGGTGTGGAAAATCATAGCACACGTTGAAGTAAAATCACTCACCGCACATTGCCGCGGGGCCATACAATATCAACGGCTCAAACTCGCCCTTGAACCAGCTCATTCCCCGACCCAACACCTGCTGCATCATAAACGCAACAGCGTTCGCTCCAACAAGAGCTCCCAGGCCTCCTAAGACCACCGAAAATAATGCCTTCGCCATCGTTGCACCTCTTGCGCTGGGCCCGCTAGCGCTTCTGACAAGCACACAACTAGCAATGAAAAGTAGCGAATAAAGCACCTTAGCTGTGCGGAACGAGTAGACGAAGAATACGCCAAGGTACGTAAAGAAGACGGTGCGAGGGCGGCCGTAGCCTGAAGCGAGCCCTGGTAGCGATGAGGCGGGTGAGGTGAGATGTTCAATGAGCGCAAATGTGTTCTCGGCCATGTGCTAGAGTGAGGGAAACAATCAATCACATGATCAGATGTAGGAGGTTCGGATAACAGACCTGCGCAACGCCTGCCTCAATGTTTTCTACCAGATCCTGTACTACATCAGTATATCCCAACATTTTAGTTTATCAAGTTGCATACCCCGCGCATGTGGTACAAGTAACTGTTACCTACAACTGCCATCTACGTGCAGTTAGCGTTGAAAACTTTACCGACGAAAAGAGAAATAGGAGACAATTGTAGAAAGAAGAAAGGTCAGACGTACATCAAGCCCGGTGACGTTCAAGTAGTACTCAAACTGCCGGAAATCAGTGCTTACAGCCGACGGCATGAATATTAGTGTAAGAAATAAGGGGAAGACAAAGAGACATACTCAGAGAGTAGCACACCCGAGCTAAAGATCTCGTTTGCAAAGATAGTTCCGTATGGTCTGTGTACATTGGCATTGGCACTGAGACCAAAAGGAAAAAGCAATAACACTGACCGAGGCACATGCGAATACGCCTGAATCATCTCGTGAGACGTCGCCTGGAACAGAAGTTCAGGGCCTGTGGTACCGGCAGCTACAGACTCGTATCAGCTGCATGAACGGGTGTCCCATATGTGAACAGCTGACCTTCCAAATTGATGACAGCACGGACACTGGAAGAATAATGTAAGGTGAAATGCAACAGGAGTGATAACTATGGGACACACGTAGACGCAATAGGGTGCTGGGTCGAGAAAAGGTGAGAGCCATCCTGGAGAGACTCCTCCGCATTATTGAACACTGTGGCTGCATTAGCATAGATCCTACTAGTATGGCATCGGAAATAGACAAAACTCACGAAATATAACTGCATGCTTTGGCTCCCACCCAGGGGTATTCACCAGCACCCGCACGCACTCAATCATTACGCCAACCGCGAGCGCGTCGTCTGCAGCGCCTGGACTAGGAAGGGTACTATCAAGATGTGAGTTGACAAGCACTGCATCAACTTTTCCCTGGTCCGTGCCATCGCTGAGGCGTATGATGATATTACTCAAGTTGACATAATGTTTATACAGCCGCGCAGCCATCATATCGAAGCTATCGGGCACGACGGGAAGCTATATAAGACACGGAAGGTCATTGGAAGTGATGAAGTAAATGGCGTACCGATGACTACCACTGCCCTCTTGCCTCCATACCTCGCATTGGAGCTTACGGCCGGGTTGAGCGGCTACGACACGCTCACACTCCTCTTTGAGCTGGTAAGCCTTCTCTGTCATCCAAGCATCTGCGAGTGCGTGTTCGCGGGTACCAGGCGTGCGGTATCCGATATCCTCTGACAGGTACTTGGCATATTGAAGGATTGTTGCTTCAGAGAGCTGAGGCAAAGAAGTCATAGGATCATATCTGGTGGTTGGGATTCAGGTTGGGTTCAGCGGACAAGCAAACATTTGTTAGTCAATATTGATTCGAGTCGAGACATAAAGGAATAACGCACTGGTCTACGATGGGCGTAGGTAATGCTGCGGAGTGAAAAATAAGCTGACAGGGTTCAATGTGGGATTGACGACAAGAACACGTACAATACTGGTGCTTCAATGCAAGCCATGGCAATCCAATGAGCAGCGGTACTAGCGCGAGCAGAGACTGCGCTGGCCCCCATTGTCGCGTTCTAACCATGATGTCCAGATTCCAGGTCAAGTCAACTTGGTCGACCTCACTGTTTAGGCGGTTAGCTGCAACGCAAAAGCTGCTCAACAAACAGAAATTTTGTGTAGTACTATATGTATCACTGCAGTAACATGCGTCGTGACTCAAGCAACTTGGAAACCGTTTCAACAAACAACGAGCGCAAAGCGTATTAAAGTATTATAATAAATAGAACACGTGACCTATTTTGATTGGCTGCTGTCCAACCATACTGGTTTTGGGATTGTGTATGTACATGTCCGGACATGGCCTGTGCAGTGACTAGCGGAGAATATGACTAGCGGAGTTATATCACTAGTACGAGCGGAACTTACCGAAATAGATGGGACATGCTTGCCTCTCAGTCTGTCCATGCAAAGAGATCATGATGAATTCTCAACAGATTGGGTGTCCGCCGAGCCGCATAACCACAACCCCGCTAGTGCACAGCGCTGCAAATCAATGATTCACAGGAACATGCAATAACCCATCGTAGTAGTTACTACAACATACTGAATGGAGTTTAGTGTGCGAAGGACTCGACTAATGTTTGGGCGTGCTATGAAAGCACGACACGAAGGTTCACGAAGGTGTCCCTTGCTTAAGTAGCATGGTTGAATTGATCAAGACGGTTTGCATTGTAGTAAGGATAGCCACTGTTTGTTGCCAAACGTTAAACTGTGGAAAGGACCAATTGTGTGATGGCATCGAGATTCGATAGAGTCCCAGACCTTCCCCATTAAATGATACAAACTGACAGCATGGTGTCACCTGACCAGTCTGCTGGCTACCTTCGTCTACGTGTCTGCTGGCTAGTAAGTCTCGGTCAACTACTGCCATCGCACAGCTAACGGCTTCCAGCTATATATTCCGAAAACCTTTTAGTCATACACTGATCAAGTGTTTACTTCATTGATATGCGCTATATAGGTTTTTGGTGTGCCGGAAGAGCGGTCCCAAAACCGCCAAGGTCTTAAATCGTTCAGTCTAGTTCATAATGTTCATCACACTTGCCTTATACTGTCTTGTGGCATCAGATCATGGCGTTGATATTCAGTTATTTCAGATTGCAGCCGTTGAATGGTGCGTCACTTGTTGTCATTCTTGATCCGTTTCTGTTTTGATCTAGACCAACTAACCTGTATTGACTTGTACAAAAGCCAGAACATATCCAACTTCACAATGTGCACTCCTTGTCTTCTTGCGCATCATATCCTGAGTGGTCTGTGGCTCCAGCAACCCGAAGACCCGCCCGTCGACTTCCAACTCTACCACCACAGTCTTGTCGCTCATTCTAATCGCGGATATCACAAGTCTGTACATTATTTGTCTATTCCATTGCCTTCGAGCTGATCTCTACGTCTGATTCCAGGGTTCAGAATCATAGTTTATCTCATGTTTCCTTACACTGTCCTCGCCGGCTGCCTTTTTTCCTTGTCACATACAGTGTCGGTAGTATCTTCAAGATCCAACTATGATGGCTCACCGTCTAGCGTGCCCCCGTTCACCATCAAGCCTGTTACTGAACTCGTCGTCGTTAATAAAGTAATCGCGCCTGACGGCTTTGCACGGTCGTGAGTTAATACCCACATGTTCCCCTACCTGTCTTTATCTTCATCCCGAACAGGGCAACACTTGCAGGAGGGATTTTTCCTGGTCCTCTCATCAAGGCGCAGAAGGTTTGTGCTATTGTTTAATTAACGTCTGACGCTGATTTTTCGAAGAATGACAATTTTAGCATCAATGTCGTGAACAGGTTACATGACAAAGATATGCCTTTGTCGACGAGTGTAGTATGTGCTTTACTCTTTTCTCACCTCAAGCTCCCTGATACCCTTCAAAGCATTGGCATGGCATCCAACAAAAGAAGACGAACTGGGCAGATGGCGCATCATTCGTCACTCAGTGTCCAATCCCTCAAAATCGCTCCTTTCTCCACGAATTTAGCGCACCCAACCAGACTGGAACTTTTTGGTTTGTGCTCCTATTTTCTGTGAAGGAGGAAGGCTAAAGTATGTCTTACGATAGGTACCACTCGCATTTTTCCACCCAGTATTGTGAGTGTTCATAACTACCTATGCGACCTATGCTACACAGCTTTACATCCAGGTGACGGTCTTAGAGGTCCCCTTGTCATATATGACCCTGAGGATCCCCATCAAGATTTATATGACATAGATGACGGTTTGTATCTTTCCTTCCATGTTTAGACAGAGCATTGATCATCTTTGGCATAGAGAACACGATAATCACACTTTCCGACTGGTTCGAGTTGTCTTCTTAGCCTTTTGCATTCCAAATCTTATCACTTCCTTCAGGTACCACGATCCTACGCCCAAGTTAAACAAAATTTTCGGCCCCATCAGATCCAACTCCACCCTCATCAATGGTTTGGGGCGCTATCCTGGCGGACCCAAATCACCTCTTTCTGTCATCAATGTCGAACAGGGCAAGCGTTACCGGTTCCGCATCATCGGTCTTTCTTGTGATCCATCATATAACTTCACTATCGATGGCCATACCATGACGATTATCGAAGCAGACGGTATCGAAACTGTCCCTGAGACTGTGGATTCTCTTCCAGTGCTTGCTGGCCAACGCTACTCCGTCGTCGTCTACGCGAATCAGCCTGTGGATAATTACTGGGTTCGCGCACCATCCAACTTTCCAAATCAAACGTTTGCAGGTGGCTTGAGTCAAGCCATCCTCAGGTACAATGGCGCGCCCGATGAAGATCCTACGAGCACTCCTGGACCTTACATCTTACCATTCAACGAAGGGAAGCTTGCTTCTTTGCTCAGCATCCCTGTCCCCGGTTTCCCCGAGATTGGCAAAGCAGACGTCCACATCAACTTACTTGCCACCACTGTGAATGGTATCTTCAGGGTCAACAATGTTACGTACCACAACCCTCCGACGCCGGTTCTGTTGCAAATGCTCAGTGGAGCGCAGCATCCCTCAGATTTATTGCCGAGCGGAAGCGTATACGAGCTTCCCTCAAATAAGGTAGTGGAAATCACCTTGCCCTACACAGGTTTACTTTTTGGAGGTACAGTAAGTGCGCCCCAGTGTTTCTCACACCTGTTGCTCACCATCATTATAGCATCCTATCCACCTTCATGGAGTGCGTCATTCTGCCGTTTCTGTGTGATTCCTCGTTCTAACGCACTCGACAGCACACTTTTGCCGTTGTTAGAACGTCGGGAAACAGCACGCCAAACTTCGTCAACCCAATCTGGAGAGACACAGTAAGTATGGGATCGATAGGGGACAACGTTACAATACGTTTCGTCACGGACAATTCTGGACCGTGGTTTATTCATTGGTGAGCATGTATTCTCGTTACATTCCATGTTACGTATCTCATGATGTGTTTACCAGCCACATCGACTTCCATTTGAATCAGTACGTATGCACAAGTAATCTTTGAGCCACGAGCTCATTCCTATGTAGCGGCTTTGCGGTGGTCATGGCTGAAGCTCGGGATCAAGTTCCCAACCTCAACGCGAGCATTCCAGGTATGGGTGCCGCGCTAGTTGTCCCCAGCACACTAAACGGAACTTTCTAGCATCTTGGGCGTCGCTATGTCCTTCAAATCAGACATCTAGTCAAGCACGCCTAGGTTCCTTCAATACGACAACATCACACCTGGGCTCCTTCAATAAGACCACACACTCACATGATTTATAAAATCATCGAGCATTCAAATCTCTCAATTCCGACCATTTCTACGCGTTATACCCCTATTTTATTTACCACTTCTAATTCCGAAAAAGTATCGTTATATCCGGCCATCTGTCCTTTACATGATAATGATTTATCGTCACGCGTGTTTTTATTCCTCCATTTAATAACACATTTGTATACAATGCATTGGTTCATCTGCTCATCGTTGGACTGCCGATTCAGACAATTCCCCAAAGTATCTCACTGCGTTCGTGAAGAGATTACCAATGCTGCAGTACCGACATAGTCGCAGTACGACCAATGAGTCCTGACCGGTGACCCCTTGTGGTTGCTACGGAAGCTGGCTATTAGCATGCTGTTCCCAAGCCGACAACTTGTGTCAGAAAATGGTTCCGACAAGTATATCTGGTTACTGGTATGAGGTTCACTGGAGCTCTGATCAGATGAATAGGGCAGGCTAGTAAGTAAAGGCTATTATTACTTCCCGACCTGACAGAGCAATATCATATTCTCTTGTAGACCAGATCAGGCTAATAACATCGTCGACTACATTAGTAATTGGCTAAGATCCTATCCGACTCCGTTTGCGTGAAGCATTTTTCAATGACGCTACCAGGTTTAGCCTGGGCTGTGCATACAGAGTATGGTACCTTTCTGGCTAGTGATCAGGTGCAGGTAAGTAACGACCTACTAGATTTCAGACATAAACTAAAAGACTGCCAAGAAGGTGCTAGTACGTACTCTGGAAAAGCAAAGAGATGGGTAATGAACAACCCGACTCAGTTGTTTAAGCTTTAAGTGCGAAGCTTTAGGTGACGACTACCGTATATAAAAATCGTCACCGTTCACATTGACGTTGTCCTGTTCGTAACCAAGAGGTTTGCCGCCGCTGTTCCTACTACTCGGGCAGGTCAAGAGAAAATTTGTAGTAGCTGACGACTTGGAGGTGTACAAGGCCTTGTTATTACCGTTACACTCCACGTACCTTGTTCTTGTCAATGTTTGTTACCCATATCACGGTGGAGAACCGCGCCAAATGCATCATCACAAAAATTGTTCAGCCTAGACTACCACATTCACCTAAAATGAGTGGTGGTACATGTATACTGTTTCCTTGACTTGTACAAAAATTGGTACATATGTACATACTCGTGAGTGTACAATTCTATATAGAAAGCAAGACTCTTCCTTCCATTCTGGTCTGACTAGGCACACTAGTACTATTATACACAACAGCAGAAATCAAGAACGTTTCGAGTAGGAAAAAGGAGAAGCATGATGCGCGTTTCCGCGGTAAAAAAAAAGCAACTTCACACGAAGCAAGACATAGACAATGATGTAACTTTCTATAATGGTAGTCATCGCAATAAGAATCGTGCATCGCAGGCAAGAAGTGAAACGGTCTTACATACAGCAATAGCTGTGGATTTCACAATGGTCGCTTGGGAAGCAGCTTGACAATTCGGTTCTGCTTGACGATATGCGCATCCTTCCCGAAATAGCGGGCGGACTCGAAGGACCACTGCAGCGTACCGGTAATCCAGTTCTGCAGTCCTTCGACGTACTTAGCCACATCCTTGTCGATTTCTTCTCCCCACGAGGGGAGGTTAGCGCGGTTTTCTTCGAAGCGTTGAAGGGAGATATTGCATAGCCGGCCGCAGTAGTCAATAGCGCCTTGCAGGTCGAGACCTTGTTTGACCATGAGCACAGCAACTGAATTATTTGTGCTATGGTGAAATTGCTCCAGGTTATAGGAGAAAATATCCTATCAGCAGCGATATCAGTAGTGCCCTAACTTTGACGACGACAGAATGAGGTATTACATTTGACCAAGAAATAAAATCATTGGCAGCCTCCTCCAGCGCTATGATGACTGGATGCGAGACTACTTCGTCGGGAAGATCAATCTGACAGGCGAATTCGGTAAAGGCAAAGCAAGCCTTGCAGCCGCTCAAGTCGCGCCTCAATTCGATGTAAGATTCAACATCATTGATATGTCCCTTGGCGCGGTTCTCCACCTCCTTGGCCGCAGAGATAAACCACAAGTCCATACCATGAATAAAGCGCTCTGTGCAGCCAGGGCCGCCAGTCTCTTTAAAACGACTGAAATATCTAAAAACCGTAAGATGATTGAAATGTGTGCTTGATGAGAAAATAGACATACGATTTGCACATCTTTCCACTATATCTTTCCGTCTGGAAGTTGGCGGGATCGCGATATGTCAAGAGCAGTTGATAGCGTCCGTCGGACCACCCGGACGTGACGACAAGTGGCATATATATATCAGAGACATTTTGCAGTACCTGACTCCTTTTCCCCTTTTCTCAACCTTACTTAAGACGTCGAATATCCGTCAACGCACCCGTTTCCCCGTGACTGAGGTGCGTATCGTTAGTTTCCTCTTTGTTATATCATCGTACTCACTACATGTACACATAGGCTCGTGTCTAGGTTCGTAGCGATACGTTAATGGAGTCCGTTTCCCCGTGACTGAGGCTCGTGTCTAGCTCTCACCTCTTACACGATACGCAGATATGCAGCAGTCGCGTACTCCCCAAGCATCATTGACATCGGACCTTTCGATCTCGAGCCAGTCATCCATTTTGAATGACCAGCCCAGGAAGTCCGCGCAGACTTTGAGATGGAAAGCATCCGCATCAGGGAAACAAACTGAAGCGAAGTAACCTGGGCGCAATATCGTAGTATATTTGGTAGCCTCGGGCTCTACCAGATGGGCTTCGCTACAAAGCCATTGTTCAATAGCGCGAGATACTGGATCACAGTGAGGGTTTAGTCGCATGGGGTAGGGGCAATCGCTGAAGAAGTCAGGTAAAATGAACTCTGTGGGCTGGGAGTCAGAACAAGTGACGGTGCAAGTTGCGGTAGAATCCATGGAGGTTGTTGGATTTGTGTCGTGAACGTCGACGAGTGAATGGAGAGATCAGAGACCCAAGTTATGAGACAAAGGCTCAGAAATATGCCACCCTTTATATGTGGAGAATCTATACGAGCGGGAGGCTTCGCGACACGCTAAACAGGTACGAATATCTCAGTATTCGTTTATGAAACTCTATTAACAAAATGTTGTACCTAAACAGGTACGAATCTACTTGTACGTCAGTACTCTACTCAAACGTTACAGTGGGATAACAACTCACATCTCAGTATTCATTTATGAAACTGAGATGTTACGACTTTGGCTGGCTCTTCTTATACGGTGAGTGTGCCAGCAAGACTTTTGATGAAAACATATATACTTAAGAACGAAAAGATTGCCGACGTTGACACGTCGTCCACGTTCTCCGTTTGGAGACGCTCGCACTCGATGTGGTTCATTCTTCGGCCGTACTCTCCTTCTCCCCTTCGGCTCTGTCTCTCTCGGCCTTACGCTCCTCGGATACATCGGCTCTCAACATTATACTATGCCAATCTTGCTTGTGGGTGTGTCGTGTTGGCTCGGACCATCGCGTGATTTTGGAAATGAGGTGTAAACTCACCTGTTCTATGTGTCACCTACTCGAATTATAGCAAGGTTTGAATCACGCTTCTCTAAACAGGGTGGAACATTACTGAGTGTCGCCCCTGTAGCTTTGATATCGCTAACGACTCGGGCTATTCCATAGGTAGGATGTACAAATGATGACTTTTGGTTAGTGTTGTTCGTAATTGTTTCGTATGAGTAGATCTCTTCTATGATTATGACGCTTACTTCAAGGATTTTCCTTCTGCATTCCCCTTCCGAAAGTCAGTCACGATAGAAATAGATGAAATGTCAAACACGAGGACCATGAACTTGGTACATCTGATCATTGACGGCGATTCACCTGCATGTAAATTGAGATCGACGGACCCATCTAAAATCTTGCGTGGGAAGGGTAGAATTGGTTTGGTCGGTTCCGCTATACTTAGCTCGGAGACTACCGCTCAGTCATAGTGCTAATAGGCATCCAGCACGTCTATCACAGTATCTGTTGTGGCAACACAATGGCCATGAAACACGGTGCTGCTACAGCTGTTGTCCGCATCTGTCTCGTGTGATAACCCACGGGCCACCATCGATATCGGTTCAGAGACTCTATGAATGATCTGCTTGAATGATCCAGGTTGCCGTGCTGTCGCTCAACTGATGGATGCGTTATAGTCACATCAACGTTCAAAAATACGTGGTAAGAATCATATTACTCATCAGACACGTTCCTTGTCAAACCTGCTTTAGTCGCAAGTCGGGAGAAATGATAAGAACTTGAAAGCATTGTGAAGTAAGAAATATAAATAAACTCCGAACTTCGTTAGATCTTGGTGAGGGTCACGTACCGCACTCTGAGTGACTCACGTAGCCTATACTGGTTATGCCATTGTGAGTGCATATAATTTAAGTTGAGTAACGTTTGATAGTTGTTGAACGTTGAGCGTTCATCTACGAATATCCAACTGTTCTGATCCCATCAATTTCCGTCGTTCTCCGTGCGAGGGCGTCTGACACTGAGCGCTGAGGCCAATTTTAATCACTCATGACACATCACGTGATTTATAATTATACGCGTCGACATTAACCAGAGTTGATCCTCGCTTGACCAGGAACCACCACCGCATCTCACCTGCTCCTTCAATGGAGCCTCACCAAGGACACAGAATGACTCTATTTTCTAAACCACGCCATAATCAACCTGACGATAGTAACAGTCAAAAGCCTCTGTTCATGACTCCACAACCTGGACACACGGAAAAAAAAATAGCAGTCCCAGCATTTAGCAACAGCTCGCAACGAACATTTGCACACACACGGAGCTCTAATTTTGTAGAGAATGCGGCCTCCAGAAATCTGGCTGAATCTAGCCTCCATTTTCCCAGTTTCAAGTTCAACACGACAACTTCCCGCCTGGAGTCGCACAGCCCAAGTTCTCAGCACTCACCTTCCTTCTATGACACAAACAGTGGACTATCAGCAAAGGTATGCCGCATATATTCTTAGGTTGGTTCTGAAATCATGCTATGTCATTACAGCGTCCCAAAGTGGAGATAAAGAAAGAGGACCACGGTGATTATATGCGCTTGAACTGTTATCATTTAATATCATTTTTCCAGACATTGATGGACACAAGCAGTTTACGATGCTCGGAAAGCAAATTTCACAACATTCTCCTGCAGAATATCGATACCCCCCATTAAAGACGACCACAGAAGAGATCGGTTCTCAAGCAAGTTTAGGTGTCCTTGGGAGTGATATGACCGAAGAGGACCTCATCATCACAAAAATGGCTAGCAGTAATCGTCGAGCGAATGTTGAGCTAGTGAGACTGGTACGTTGACCCCATTCAGTTTTCTATATCACAATGTCTATCAACATCATTATAGCGGGAACATAACGCCGAACTCGAATCCCAGCTTAGTATCAAGACTGAACTCGTCGCCGATCTCTCACGACAGAATACGGAGTTGTCTCGTCAGGCGTCGGACGCCTCTCATCAGAACTCAGAACTATCTCGACGAATCGCCCAACTTAAATTGACAACCAAGGAAGCAATTGACAAGGCTAACAGGAGGTTTCTAAATATTTTGTGCATCCGTTTTCCATTCGCTGATCTCATCCAGTTGCGTCGAACTCAGAGATTCTTATGAGGCGCTCCGAATCCAATTTCAAGCATCATCTACCTTGGTGAACGATGCCCGAAAAACAATGGAAAGCCTTGAGGAGCTTCGGGACGCCGCTCGCATCGGCCTCCAAGGTCAGTTCACTCTCCGAATTATCATCCTTGCTTCGCCGGGTTGTGACTCAGAATAATTAAAGTATTCCTCGACGATACTGGGCATCTGCCCAATGTAGGCCAGACAAGGATAGTTGTAAACGAGCTACAGGCTGAGCTTACTCGGAGTGAGTCACATCTTCCCATGGGAAATCAGTACGGCACATTATGTGTGCAGCCCAACAGGTGGCCGATCTCCTGCGTGAAAAATTGCAAAATATGGGTTCTGAGCTGATAGATTCCCGGGCGCGCGTTGCGGAACTGGAGGAGCATTTTGGGAACGATAGAAAGTTAATTGCCTCAACAACATCGGAGCTTGAGCGAACCTGTAAGTTGGGTCATTGTCATCTTGATGAATAGCGATTCTCATGGCCATCCAGCGGAGCGCGTTGTAGATATTGCTGAGTACCTGAAGCTCCAGAAGCATGAAACAATTGACGTTCTCAGCAAACTGGCGCAAGCGGAGGAACAGCTGGCTGACAGCCAGTCACGGTAATGAATACATCTGATGGTCATATGATATTTTGTCTAACTCTGGATAACAGCTTGCAAGAACGCGAGGCGATGGTACATTCCATGCGGCAAGAGATGGAATCTATGAGACAGGAGTATGATTCTGCGTTTCTGGCAATTCGGCTGCTTGTAACACAACATTTTTAGGATTTCCGAGTTTGAAGAAGCTATGCATGACAGTAAATCGCAAACTCGGATCGTGCAGAACACTGTAACCTTCCAAGAACAACACATAAAGGACCTAGAGGGGAGGTGAGTCTTGCTAAATTTTATCGATAACGCCTGCTGAATCTTGACATTCAGGTTACAGAAGGCCGAGACGGAGTTAGTACATGCTCACAATAGATCGCAAGACCTTGAATCGCGCTTGGAAGCCTCAAAAGATATTGAGAAAGCTCTAGTTCAGCAGAATGCGCGCCTCACCTCCGAAGGCGAATCTATCAGGGAGCGACTCCAGATTGCTGAAGCGGGACAGGCGGATATCCGGAATCTAGAAAGGGAGCTATCAGCACGGAGTACGAGGCTCGTGTCGGAACGCGATACACTCCTTGACAAACTTCAAATTGCACATGGGCAGCTGGCAGATGCGAAGCGAGAGGAGGAAAGCTACCGCGAAAGGTAGTTCACGCACTCTTCTCATAACGAAATATTTGACCATTACAATTAGATTCGCAGAAACGCGAACGTCGCTGAAGGTTAGCCTCGTGTCATTCAGTCTTTTCATATTTACCTCGTCCCAGGTTCTTCAGGAACGTTTCGACGACCAGTCCGTTACTCTCAGGCTCACCAAGGAAAGTGTCGGCGAAGCTCAGGTAATCCCGCACTTTCTTGGCCTCACCCTGAGCTGAGCTCACCTGTCTACAGGATCGTCTGCAATCCACGAATAACACAATTTTGGTAGCGTGTACTCCGGTGTCATGTCCACCAGCATATTTATTGCGTGACATAGGCTCTGAAAGAAAACTTGGCGGAATCTGTCAGCCGCGCCAATGTTGTGGAGGAACGCGAACGCTCATTGCAGCGTAGACTCGACGAAGCCATCGTCGCCGCAGCCGCCGAACGGGACTTGGTTGGCAGCCTTCGGAAGGAACTTTTAGACTGCCAGATAGACCTCTCCCGACAACAGGGTATTCAACGAGCCACAGAGCAAATTGCAGAACAACGCGTTCGCGATGCTGAACGACGAATTGAAGAGTTGAACTCTAAAACAGACTCTCAGCGCGGCGAGCTGGGCGAGAAGCAACAAGTCATATCCGAACTGACCCAGCGCCTGGCTATTGCCGAAACTCCTTCTGATCTGCACGAACAAGAGCTCCTTGTTCTGAAAACGCGCATTCACGACCTTGAACAATCCGAAACGCAACTTCTCCAAAGATCGACGAACATCACCATCCGACATGAACAGAATGACCTGGTAAGACGAGTATAATTATTCGATGACTGTTTACCTCGTTCGCTTTAGAATGACAACGAGTGGACGTTGGTCCAGAACCTTGCCAAAAATGCCACAGAAGTCTTTGAGCGCGAGCTAGCGGAAAAGAACAATGATATTCGAAGGGTTGGTGTTCTCTTCTTCTGATTTGTCACTGATCTCCTTTGGTTTTCAGAGAGACAACCTCATCAAGCAACATGAAGCTCGCATCATGCAATTAGAAGCAAGTTTAGCCCGTCGCATTAGGGAAGTTGTAAGGAACACGCCCTTGATAAACAATGTGCAGCTGACCTTGATTTTTCGCAGCCACAAGTCGGAAGCTCAAGGGACGATAAGCAAGATGAAACTTTCTGGAACGAGCCCCCATCCGGGCCCGGGGACCCACAGAATTCCGGTGCATTGCCATGCTAGGAAAATTAGACTTAGCTAAAATATTTCGCAGGTGTGCATGGGGCAACGAACCATTTAATTGTCAAAGAACCTCGACGTGCCGACCACATTCCACACACGAACAGTGACTCCGATATTGAAGACGAGAAGGACCTCGCAATGCGGCAAGTGAAGCGGACGATCTCTGTCGATGATGAAGAGTCGACCAGACCGGCAAGGCGACCGGTAAGTACTCTAGCCGTGCCGTACCGATTATCAACGGGCAACCTGACCGCGAAAGAAAAATTCAAAGTATCCAGAAATGGAGAAGACAGCGGACAAGGTTGGTATTTTCTCTCATCGCCTGTCGTCATCACACCTCGAGTCGGTGCTAGGTCCCAGGTCCATCAAAGAAGAAGACGAACAAGCGACAGAATCGGTAGTTGGCAGTGATGGACTACGTTGCCTCTGTTTAAGGTTCAATGAACGTGGATGGACTGGTCCAGTTTATGCTGATTGTGTCAGCATCATTATCGTGTACTAGTAGTATTTCTCTTTCAGAGACGCGCGTGACATTCTCGCGTGGTATCAGGACTCTGTAGCATAGCGTATGCAATGCATACAACACATGGCATTCAAGAAATTAGCAATGATACAAGACGTCAGTGGTATGAACGGGTAGATACACTTTCGATGCGATTGTCGTCGGTGAAGGTGAAGTTGAACAAAAATCAACGTGATGGATGGGAGGACCTTATGGATGCAGGACTAATAAGTAAACAGTGGAGTAGCAGTCCAAGAAATGCAAAACGAGAAAATAGGTATACATATATGCACAAGAATCGGAATCGCAAGGTCCGAAATTGCCCGCTAGTCCGGAAGGCGTAACATATCGCCTTCAAAAATGATGTCACCACGGTCCTGCAAGGCGGCGGCCGCTTTGACGACTTCGGCTGTGTCAAAGTCCTCGTGTTTGTCTGCAGGTATGGCAGAGTTTAAGTAGGTCAACAGGGAAGATATGGTCATGTCATCCGTGCTGTCATAAGTGGTCATAAATAGATATGCGATTGACGAGAAAATGAAATCCATCCTGACAGCAGGGCTCAGCCGTCAGCATCATCATTTGGAAATATCAAGGTCAGGCGAGTGGGAGTAACGTACCGGCCAGGAACGGTGGTCAAGTCAGCAAAACTAAGCGCAAGACGGCGGTTCAGGCGGCTCGTCGACCCGAAGGCTTCCGTTGGCGCCTGAAGGTCGCTTCCCTTTGGGCGGATAGAGCGGACGGCTTGTGATGATCTCTTGCTGGTGGAAGCATTGTCAGGAACAACCCAAGCGGAGCCAGTGCGGCTGCTTCCATTGTCTAATCGTTGTTTCTTTGTAGTGTGAGGAGACCGAAAATCCGAAAACCTGGCTTTGCGCTTATCATCCGTGGGGAGTTCCTGGGTGTCGTGCGCTTCCTCTGATTCTAGTTCGTCTTCGACAGACCCATCATCATCTGACAAGCTTCCGTCGTCAGGATGGGTTGTGCCACCTTTGGCTCTAATTTCTGCAACTTCTGCAGCTTTCTGAGCTCGCCTCTGACTGAAAGAGTAACGCAGTCGGTGTCAGTGTGAGATGCGGGAGAGAGGAGATGTGGTTAGAATGGTGGAAACTCACTGTCGAGCTAAACACTTTCCCCGGTGCTGTATCCATGGATACGCGCAGTATGAACTATCTTGTCGAAGCTGAACCCACTTCTTGCAAAGAGAACAGAATACTCTGTTCGGCTCAACCTCTTCAACCAGAGGATCGGCCTTGAGAGTTGCAGCTCGTTGTTCGGCATTTCGTCGACGAGATTCATGAGCTGGAAAATTGGTGGGTGTCAAATCCTTGAAGGATGAAGATGGCGAGCATGGTGCTGCCGATGGTATGGGAGTTTTTCCGTGGACTGGTGAGTCCGAAGGACGTCTTGAAGTTGCAGGACACGTGTTGGCTATCTCGGGCTGCTGTGTCAGATTTTGATGGCCTTGAAAAAAATAAGAATGAGAAAACATCAGATTGAGTGGCTCAACTGAGACGATGAAGCTTCCGCATGAGCTGCGGAAGACTGTCCAGCACCCTTTTGACAGGACGACCTGTGGTGTAACCACTTTTGGACGGCCTGCATATGGTTTTCGGGGCTGACTTGGATCCAACGGTCGCAAGTATTGCACAGTACCCGCTCGGCATCAAACTTGCGGACGTCCGGGTCTTTGGAGAGCAATGAATTTCTCTCTTCGAGGGCACAACCATTCTTGTTGTTACTGGGGATGCGTGAGTGGCGAAATGATAAGAAAGGGCATGGATTCGCTCACATCTTTTTTGACAAGCAACTCTTGCGGTGAGCATCCCAAGGGATGGAGCAATACGTGGAATTAGGACGGAGTCGGATCCACTTGTCGCACGATGCACATAATACGCGATATGCCTCGAATTGTGCGACGTAAGGATCCGCCCTAAGGTAGTCAATGCGTTCCTCTTCAGTGCGCTTAGCGCGCCGCCGTTTGGCAGGAGGGTTGGCAAGGGCCTCTGCCGTACTTTCCGGAGTATAGATGACAGGTTCTGGCACGGCCTGAGTAGTGTTGGCACTGCCGGGACAGATTAGAGAACAAAGAGATGATGATCAAGGCGACATCGATACCATTGCTGGCGATGGGCGTCCCAGTGTTTCAGGGTAAATCCACCGGTTGCCTCGTCACGAAACGAGACACCCTCACTGCAGACTTCACACATGACACGACCGGTTTCATACTCGCCTTTTGGAACGGCGACTGAGTCGTCTACACTCTCGCCTTCAGCGTCAGCGGAATCTCCTCGTTCTGGAGGGGTTTTCCGCTTTCGGGAATTTCTGTAGAATAATTGGTGATTCAAGAGATAATAGGATCGAATAAAATCGTACGGAGATTGATCATGAGGGAGCTCTCGAGGAGGAGAGGTATCTGAGCTAGTGATATCAATTAGCGGGTCAAATAAATGAGGGCTGGGAAGGGGAAAGAAATACTTGATTTCATCGACATCCATATCCTCCGACATGAAGGAATAGAGGAGGATTATAATATGAGGAGGCAGGAGATGGGGAGAGGAATTAGGTATGATATTGGGGGCGTTCGGGAAGGGTTAATATGTGTAAGCTGCTGTTCGGGTGCCAAAACGTATTTACAGAGAAAATATATGTCACAGATCCGGCACTTCCAGAAACATAACAACATTTAATTTCCCACGGAGGGACGAAAAACATCGAAAAAGGATTTGTACCTGAATAAATTAACCTCGACGAACAGGTGATTCTGCTTCCTGTCCGACTCGGTGTCAAATTTATTATGACATAGGATTGAGACTTAAAGTAGACAGTCATCTCTTCGGTATAGCGTGGCAAGTGACTAGTGTGACTTATTGTTCTAGCGTTTTACTAGTCTAGTGCCATGACACGCGTTTCCATCAAAAAGTACTTTGTTCTCCGCTGTTCTATCGATCGTTTGGTTGTCATTCATCATCGATGCGATTCTCTCGGTTATGATGTCGGAGCTAAACGCTGCATTGCAATGGGATGTCGCTTGGTTTAACTGGGCTAGACAAATGACTAAGACGAAAGCTTCCATTTACATATCTCGGGCCTAGAACGGTATTTCTCTCTTTACTCGGCTCAATCCACCACGCCCCTCCTCCTCCTTCTCCTCATTATCACCATTCATCCATCAGTACCTTGGACATTGCGCTGTCACTTTCGTTTTGATCTCCAATCTCATCGCATCCGGCGGCATGTACGGCAACTGCGGCATTTGGGGACCTTGCCCTTGTTCTGGAAATACACCGGACCCATGTGGAACACTATTCAAATGTTTTGTGTTTTTCCTGTTTCCCGTGTGAACATTTATTATATGTTTGCGTGTTCGGCCACGTAGTATCTATCGCCGCACCACATGTAATCGTATGCCTCCTGAACCAATTACCGGTACATATTCTTTGCAAACCTGCGTCTATGCATGGCCTAACTTCCCCGCACACCGGTTGATTTCCGAAACGACGTTTTTCCTTTTTTGATATAAAAGTACGTACTTTGTGGCCAACTACTTTGGCTGTCGATCACGATAGAGGCACGAACACTCCCCTTTTCGGGTCTCTTTAGCGCCTGTTTATATATTTTGGGCACAACACATTCTAGCCGCCCCTGTTCCAACTTATTTAATAATCCCATCCATCCGTACCAGAAACCTCGTTTCCGCGGACTCTTTTCTTCAATTAAGTAAAAATATACTTCGCGAGTACCCAGGTACAAACCCACAACAGGCGCTTAGATTCGCTCTTAGGGGCACATGTGACCCAGCGGCGTCCTAACCTTCTTAATTCAATCTTGCTCCAGTGCATTCTTCGATATCATTCCATATTCGTATGATTCTCATATCCTTCCGTATCCTTCTCCCTCGATGAATCCCTTCAGACGCTTCACGATTACATCAAGCCCACACAACCACTTCGCTAGCTCCGCGTCTAGTCTTTCCATGGGCGCACCTTGAGATATACGGCTATAGAAGTCACGGCGATACGGTGCGGCCCGAACAGCAACCTGAAAGTGCCGGAATAAGTCAGGAGCTACATGCACAACAGAAGCAGCCAGTGACGTACGGCGGCAAGTGACCGTACGAAAAACGTATGATGCTGCCTCAAGACTTCGTCGTATGAACGCTTGAAGCACACGTGTAATTCCACCCAAGGATCATTCTGCATGTGTTGAAGAGCTATTTCCTCCGAGTCAGTTGCCTTCTATGACTACATAGTCGGGGTTAGAATAACCTCTACATAGGAATGTCAAACCACTGCACAAGTGACGCTACTGATTAGTGACATGGACACGCTATATTAAAGGGTCGAACATACCGGGTCAGGCGTATCAAACATCCGGTCCCATGTCGGTCATCTAATGATACTTCGCTTCTGACAAGATTCTCGAGCGTGGAGCAACCAAAAGAATCGGCCTGGTAGCGAGTTCGTACACCCTGTAATGCACAAAAAGAATAAGGGTTGATATAGGGTTAGACACAGCGGAGAACGTTCCCCTATATTCCCCTTTATATCATTCTGAACAAAGCCGAATACACCTGAGCCAAGCAAATCTAGAACGACAGCGCATTCAAGGGAAAATCGGTTGCCGCACGTAACCATTCTATCGTACCGAACAATTGAACCAGCCCTTCAGACGCTTCCAGAAAAACCGACGTTTCCACTCCATCAACGGTGATTGGAACATCTGCAAATGACTATGGGAGCGTCAGTCTGCGAAATGCGGCGAGGTGAGTTATAGTACTTTGACAGTCTCAAAGTATGGTTGAGAAGACATCTTGTTGGTCAAGAAGAAGGTTCTACGCTACCTCCTGGAGGGGATAGTGCCGAATTCTGGTGCATTAAAGCCTCGAGGACAGTGGCCAGGCTGCAAGTTTACAGCATAAATGAAATTTGACACGATTTTGCAGGATCGAAGGTCAACGTGTACTGACATGTTGAGTTGTACGTAATATTATTTTCCGCATTTACTCATTTGTCTACTGATCTTATCATAGAAATTGCACAACTTCAAGAGGCTGTCTAGCCACGACGTTTGAGGTGACCAACTGAGGTTTTATAGTTCAGCAGGAAATTTGATGCTGTCGGTTGCCAGGACACAAAGGAACGTGTTGACAGCAAAGCAGTAGCATCACCATCGGTACTACTAGTAAGTGAACATAACAAAGGGTCTACGCATGCCCTGTGATACTCAGCCCATCATTTAGCATCCAATGTCGCCCAACGATTGCTCCATGATTTCCTTTGTGGTAGCGTACCGGTACTTCCAAGGCACGTCTCCCCTTCGCCGGCACTCGGTATAAAATCTCTGGTTCAATGCTAGGGTTCGCAGTGAACATCGTGTTTGATCCCGTCAAGGACAGACTCACTGGCGAAAGGGATGTGATCCTGATTCTCCTCTTCCGGGCCTTCATCATCCGACAGTTCCATGGATCGTAACGTATTATCCTCAACAGAGTTCGCCGTTCGCGAAATGCCGTCAGCTCGGGGATTATCTAGCTCAAAAAAGCTAGCAGCTGTCGGGCGCCGTTCTGTATTTGACGGACAAAACCCGTCTCCACTTCGGGCGAGTTTCTCGTTCTGTAAAATTGAGTTCGTTACTTCATTCCATTATTAGGAGACATTAGCTCACCTCGATCTTGTATATTCTTGCACATTTCCCTCGATGTTTCATCCATAATCCTGGGTAATACCTCGAGCGCTTGTCGAGGCTAATCTCTCTGTCACACCCACGGCATATGACGGATGTGGGTCGTACATCGTACGTGTACTCGTCGTCTTCTAACTCCTGTTTCCGCTGAGCTTCGGTTTTCCTCTGCTTGCTAGATCCCGCGACTTGGATGAGTGGCTCATCTTGCTTGTTATCAGCGGCATCTACGTTCTCGCTAGAGTCACATAGAGGACTCTGTGCGTCATCGGGTTCGGAAGAGGGGTGAGATGGGGCAGGCCCACGAAAGTCGAGCTTTACTGGACAAGCGAAATAATGCTCGTCGACAAGGAGGCTAATCGTGGGCCAGTCGGCGTGTGTGTCATATTCAAGAACGGTACGGCACCTACCACACTTGTGGGTGTAGGTCCGTTTCGTGGCCGTTTTGGATATGGCAGCATGCTGAGTGGCGGCGCGGTCCATGTCTGTCTAGGGCGCGGCGGATGAGGGATTGGATCTTGATTTTTCGTGTTCTTGTACTTGGAAACAATGCCCTTTCGGATGTGGACGTGGACGTTTTTTCTGTCACAGTGGCGCGAAGTTTAGACTTGCCTCGGAGTCAACTTGCATTGTTCGTCCAGACCATTGGTTCTCAGACACATGCATGTGGTATTCTAAGGCGGGCAATCATCACTTGTCATGAAATTCATTCACTGACTGCAGGCTAAGGATTCGTCACTCTTCTACACGTTGATGTTTTCCGAACTGCAGGGTACATCTCTACAAAGTATCCCCGTTGTGAAAGTGAAAACTTGGTCTGACATGATCGTCCCAGAAAAACGCACCAGCGTAGAAGTCAAGATAGACGATGGATATCCACTCTGGCCGCCGCCAAGATGCCCAGATCAATATAGCCACATGTCTCGAACTTCTTCGTCGACACAGCCGCCACAATAAACGAGACTGCGCTACATTTGCGTCCACTATGTTCTTAGGTACAAAAAACATAAGTTTCCATTTCGTACGTAACTAAACACATGTATTTCTGTTTTTCACGCTGACTGGAATCACCGAACATTCTAAATGCATTGTTTAGGATTGCCTGCTGGTCGTTCATTCGGTGCACAGGTGATAAGCCAGAGAGCCTGTGTTCTTATGACGTCAACGACTCCACTTCCATGAAGGCTGTGGGTACATTGTTCTGATCTTCTCTGGTGCACCGGTGTGGCGACCTGTCGTAGCCCCTTCTGCTGAAGAACTCGACTCATTTGCAGGATCGCGCGGCGTTGGATGTAAGACGTAGATGAGAAGGATGCCTGTGAAATTCTGTAATCACGTATGGGATTTTTTTGTCTGAGGATGTTGGAGTACCCCTCCTGCGTGTTGCAGGCGGGTGTTTGGTACCGTTTGGATGGCTTAGTCAGTAAGGGTCTAGAGCCTCGGGCGGTGTTGTAGCGTTCATCGTTGAAAGGCTACCCACCACTGTCTGCCAGAGGCAGGCACATATTACTTCATTGTGGATTGACTGTTTAATTAGGCTGAGGGTCCGGTGTTGTTGTAGCGTTCATCGTTGAAATTTAAAGGCTACCCACTGTCTGCCAGAGGCAGGCACATATTACTTCAACTGTTTAATTAGGCAGAAGGTCCGGAAAGCAGGATGGCTATTAGATCAGCGATACCAAGAGTCATTTTCGCCAAATGGTTCACTAAGTACTAAGTACTTACGGTGACTGCATTGACATCACAGGGAGAAAGGGACAAGCTTTGCATACGATACGATCCGCTCATCTGATGCGTCAGAGTCAGGGAAGAAAGTGGTGATGAACTGCCTCATTCAATTTCGAATGGCATGCCTGTCGGAAACGGATATGTTGCAAACTATGGAGGGAGGTATAGCCTTGTACAATCTGAGCACCCTAGTCGCCACTAGACTCCGATGTACGTAGTCATTACCACTAGGATAGGTACAACGCCGCTTTTGAGACAGCAATTATTCCATTCCTCATACTTGCTTTTGAGGCAAGGCCGAGGTTGTGCGATACACAGGGTTTATGATAATGCCGTACGAACGTTTGACTCATGACGTACGTAGGCTATGGTAGTGCTAAGTGCAACTCCCGATCTCCCGCACAAGGGATCAAGACTTGCAGGCTCGGGCAGTTTTTCACTCTGGCCTGCGCCTTGCGATGCTTGTCCTACCAGTCCGTCAGTTTTTCAGCCTCCGTCACCTTAATGGCGGATTTGGTGAAGTCTTTGGCAGTCGAATGAATTCTCCTAACAGTCGGATAACGAAGCGACCATACGGCAAGTTGCCTCGTTCCAAGGACTCTTTGGTTCAGCCGAAAAATTTCAAGTGTCCAAGGATGGCGCCACGCTCATATGAAGTATGCGAGCCGAAATGCTGTCCGAACAGATGAATAAAAATACAGGTCACCGAAAAGTGAAAAAAAAATCCGCCACCGCTAGGGATATCGAACCAGGCGAATCGCTCGTTCGCGATCAAGGGACAGATATTGTCTATGGATTCATCGCCATACATTAGCTGAAAAGTGGGGCTGTGAGATGCATTGAGTTTGCAGCTCAAGTGAAGCTGGGGGGCGCCAGGCATGCCAAAAAAGCCTTAGTTTGTTTTTTCAGATAGCGTACCTCTTTCGCACGTTGCAATGCCCACGACAACGTCTGATGCGCCTCAGCATTGAGCACTACATGTGGTTGAATGTTTGTGCCTTTATGGCATACATAGGATGGTCACGGTCAGGGTTTGAGATGTAGCCACGTTCATGGTGTGGGATATGGTCAGGTTTATGGTTTCAGGGATTGATCAAGCGCTTTGTTCAGGGTATGGTCTGGTTCGTGGCGGTATAGGGTCTGGGTCAGCAAAGGAATGATGATATGGACGGTGCAAAGTGGCCGCTAGAACCTGTCCATACAGTCTCGAGGCAACGCACAAACGGAATAGAGGACAAGGGACGTTTTATAAAGGGAGACAAGGAGCTCATCAGGTGCAGCACCGTAAGCGACCATAAGGGATTAATTTATGGGTGCGCTTCTGATAGCAGAACTGCTTCTACGACGATAGGCGCAGACAAGAGGGTGCAAGATCATAGTGGCATACGGAGCGCTGAGATCTGTTCGGCGTTAGGCAGAACGACAGCTCACCAGAGGGGGGTATGGCACTATCATGTGGATGGTACACTCGTGCAACATTTAAGCGCTGAGCATGTGGAAGGCGGCGAAGGCCTCGGAGAGATCAAGTCATGTGGAGCAACGTGGGGGTCGCTGAGTATGAAAGCAGGAACCAATCCCGATAGAGTCGGATATGATTCAATTGGTGAAAATTACGTAATGTATTCGGCGGATAATGGTAGTGTTGTACGTGTCCTGATCCGGGTCGACAAAGGATGCATGTTTACATACAGATTGTCACCTTCGTAGATAAAGATCCTTGGAAGTACTGTTTTTCACGGTTGCTTGCAACCGCACAGCCCGTTGGTTTCTCACCAACCTCATCTGCAGAACTTGACTAATAAGTAGTAAGTATTTGTCTTCCAAAGTTCCCACCTACAAAATACATTTGATTCCGGTAATTGAGTTTCATTTTTCTTAGCTTTTCTCCCAGCATTATCCATGCCGCCGGACACAACGAAGGCCAAGTTGAAGCGCAAGTCAAGCCGCAGGGAGGGAGATGACTTCCGATTTGATGGCGGCCATGCGCGCGAGATCGAACAGAAAAGGAGTAATGGGCAGATCTCTTGCGCCGAGTGTAGGAGGTGCGACCTTCGCACAATTTTTATAAGAAGCAGTCTGACATGATGTATGCATGTGTATTGTCTAAAGGCTCAAGATAAAGTGTGACAAGCAGATACCCTGCCAGTCATGTCAGGCAAGTACCACGCTACACAGCACCATCCTTGAAACTAAACACCTATCACCCATTTATTTAGAGACGAGGTTGTGCTGCACTGTGTCCCAATGGTAAGCTATTTTCTATCTCATCCTATTTATGTGATCATTCATGTTAATCATTTATTTACAGGCAGCTTGGCTACTGGACAGGGGACTCGGTACGCACCATACATTTCTTGATAGCTTTCATTATCTCATTTTTCTACAACAAGCTTCGTTCTCGCCGCAACTGAGCATCTTCACCGTCAGATAGCCAATATGAGTGGACGTATCCGCCAATTAGAAGACGCTCTTGGGGTCCTCCAGTCACACCATTCCACAGAACCCCACCCCCTCCTTCGTGACGACCTTCGTAGCGCGGATCAAAAGGATGAATTTAGCGCCATCACTCTCCCTGGTGATAATGCTGCGGGTCCGTCGAATCCTCCAGAGATTCTCGATGGATTTGGAACACTTTCTATCACTGATCACGGTATATCACGTTTTTTTGGTCCTACAGGCGGATCCGAAGTAAGTGTTCTATCCTTCTCATTCAGAAGAGATGTACTCATCCCCGAATTTCATAGTGCTTGTTGATGGTGCGCATTTTACTTTTTGTGAGGCTGCGTTCATGCAACCACCCCATTAGTCGGATAAAATCATTATCAAAAGTGACAGCACAGATGCTTCTAGTCCCGAATCTGGAAGGGATTCAATGAGCCCTGGATTACCGTCGTCATTTAGGATGTTTTCGCAGGCCTTCCCTTTCACCCCTATGGGCCCAACAGCAGCTATTCAGGAATTGATAGAAAGTCATCTACCATCTTCGGACCGGGCCAAGTATCTCGTGCAGACTTATTTTGAACAAGCTGGCTGGCTATTTCACACAGTGTCTGAAGAACAAGTGGTGGAGGAGTTACTCCCAATGTATTACTCAAATAACCCTGCGAGTCGTGCGACGCCGCCGGACGAACCCAAAGGATCTTACGAGCTCGGTCTTCTTTTACTTGTCTTCGCTATCGGAGCTCTCGTGGACCTTAAGCAGAACGCCACCAGCCCTGAGGCTGAACACTACCATCAACTTGCCCGCGCTAGCATCTGTTTGCAGCCGGTCTTGGAGAAGCCCTCCTTGACTACTGTTCAGGCACTTCATCTGTTGGGTGGTTACAACGCTATGAGCGGCAGTGAATTGGAGTTGACATGGTCATTGGTCATCCTTGCCGCACATCTGGCCCAAACCGTGCGTAGTCTTTCCATTCATGTAATTCTCACCTGATCAAAGGTCGTCTAGATCGGTCTTCGTATGTTTGTTCATGTATTATCAAGGAACAGTTTAATCTCACTCCGTACCACAGATCGGGATAGTGCCAAGTGGGGTCTTCCTAACAAAGTTGTGCAAAGGCGGCGCATTGTCTTTTGGGATCTCTTCATTGCTGATGCCTGGGGTGTAAGTACACCCTTCTCGTACTTATGATGGTTTTATTGATATTCTCAACGCAGAGCTTAAACAACGGCCGCCCACCGACTTTTTCTTTAGCTTACATCGACTGTCGTCTCCCTGAGTTTCCAGGTTCTGCCGGAAATGACGGGGAACCTGATTATGCTGCTGCTGCTGTTGCAGAATGTGAGTCTATACGTATTGCTCCTGCCTTTACCCACTACATCTTTTGGTACAGTCTCGTCATGGGCTATTAGGTATGCGACTGACTGCGTCGCAGAAGTCGCTACGCGTACGTTGACGGCTGAAGCGCCGAATTATGCGGTAATCATGGAAATCGATCGCAAAGTTCGCGAGTTTCCATTCCCAGATGTTCCCCCTTCGGCATTAGATACGTCTCCACCTCCAATGACACCTCCAATTCCTGAGGAACCACTGGCACAATCAATGGGCCGTCTTGTGCTGTCTCACTCTCGAGAAACTCGTAAGCAAACTGCCTTTGTACCCTTGGATATCGTGGCTGATCTATTGTTCAGTACTACTTTACATTCATCGCAGTTTCTTTGCGCAGGCTATCATTGAGAACCCTGTGAATCCGTTAAAGAGCACATACGCCCCATCATTCCTGGCTGCTTACCGGTCGTCTCAGACGATACTGCGAACCATCCAACAAGCATTCCATGAACATCCTAGTCCCTGCGCTCGCTTTTGGACTGTCTGGACTTTCGCATTTTCTGCAGCCGTAAGCATTTCGCGTCTCGACATTGATTGCGGCTGATAGCCAGACAGATCGTCTTTGGGACAATTATTACTCGAGGCCCACAATCTCCACTGGCGTCCAATGCCATGAAGGAGCTGGATGGTGCCTGCCTTCTTTTTCAAAGAGCAGCTTCACATAGCAAACGTGCTGCTCAAGCTCTAGTCAGTATTTGTTTCTTTCACGCTTGTTACACCTTGTAATGGAGACAATACCGCAGCCAATCCTTACCAAACTGAGCGAGAAAGCGCACTTAGCCCTCGCTGCTGCTCAGAATGAACGGCCATCACAACAGCTCGGCCAGCAGTGGAGCGTAAAGGTGGAGCAAGATGATGATGAACTCGAAATCTTTGCTGGAAGAACTAGATTCGTTTCAGCTAAAAGACCTACAACTCTCCCTGCAGAGTATTCGGAGGCTTCTTCTAACAGCAACACATATCTACCAACTAGTTCTACCGAACAACAAACCGCACAAATATATCGCCCGGAGCCTGCAGTTGACTGGGTTTATTCGACCTCGGACCGTGGTGGTCGTTTCGAGATGCATCATCCCAGCAATGTCACTGCACCTAGTACAAGCACTAACCTTTCGACCCAGCTATGGCGACAGTCCCAGAGCTCTGATTATCCTTATGCTCCCCCGCATCACGTATCTCATTCAGCTGCATCACACGTGCACCCTGTGCAACACGCTTTAGCACCTATTTCAGGGTCATCCACTTACTGGCCCCCGGCGAGCGAAACCTCGCAGCAATATAGTCAGCCTCCGCTTGCAGCTCCTCAGTCGCACGCTTATCAGTACAACTCATCTTCTGCTGGCCCATACCAAGGCCAACAGGGCCGACCACTACCTACGGAGCTCACCGGACTTGGCCTGGTATCACAGGATTCAAGACTTGATGAACGTTGGACCTCCTTTATGCGGGATTCTGGTTATTTCGATGGTGTTGGGTTCAGATCATAGTGAACTTGATTCTTCCGCAACCTTTGTATCGATTTCGTTGTTAATTTGAGCATCGTCACCTTCCTCTCTTTCTAGACATGTTCGATCCTGGCGGCTATTTTCTAACCATCATATCCATATTCCATGTGCAAGGCATTATCAACCAGATCACCAGTATATAGCAGTAGTCTTTGAAACACTTACCTGTACCATTTTTATGCCTTCCAGAGGGTGTATTTACATGCCATTTTATTACCTGTACCTGTTCCGTTGAAGCATCTGATATAAGACACCAAAAATGGCTCTAATCGCTCGACGATGAAGCATGAACTACAGACTCCCTAGCCTTTAAGCTTTAGGCCTTTAGGCATGGATTCAGATAGGATACGTAGTCACCACCATCAAATCCTAGTGTGCCCGCGGACCACCAACTTGCAGTCGGTTGCGCAGTATCGCCATGGTGACCAGCATGAACAATTAGCAGAAAGAATCAATCAACAATCTTGGAAATGTGCTGCTCCACTGGGAAACAAATCAAGTCGGAGAAGATGCCCGAGCCATCAAGAAGAGGAAAGACCGAACGTGCAGGTACTGCCGTTCAAAAGGCGCTGAGTCGAAGTGTCCAAGGTGCACCGAGGCTTTTATCCCTCGAATTATGTAATCAATTGATTGATATAGGTTAATATCGATTCCAAGCATTGTGTACTATAGGTAGGTCCAATGCATAGGAGGTGGCATCGAAGGTGAGCGCAAGACGGTGTCTAGTGTTTGAAGGACTCATCAGGATGAGCGCGAGGGCATCCATTACGCTCCCGTTTGACTCATCAGCCGAGTGAGCATCCGAATGTTTCAAATGCATACTCTTGTTCTTACATAAAAACAACATCTGTAGCAGTCGGACTCATCTCAGTTTCGCTTCCGGATAATGACTCCGAGAGATGTGCGTCATTTCTCATCGCATGTATGTCTTCATAACGAGCTAACGTACACTTGTAATATATTTCTGCCTAGCTCGCCTCTCCCTGTACTCATCCGCCTCTCGTCTTGGCATCTAGTATTTATTTACACCATCATCATCATTCGGACCTAGATTTCTCGGTTCCTACGAACAACCTAGGTTAATCCTGAGCCAAGCAAAAGTCCGGACACCCTTGCGTCATTCACAACGAAAAGACCCCAGCCCGGACTCTGCTCAACATCTTCGTTTCAAGTTAATGTTGCAGCACTACACTGCCTGTTGCACTCATCACTCGTTTCACATATGTACTATCACCTCGCATGCATTGGTGAGTGTTTAGTATTTTTAGTAGCGCTCGACGCTCGTTACATTCATATGTAATCGCACTTAGGCGCCACCCAAACCTTAGTCTTATCAAAACAAGACACTCTAACTTGCTGCCCGGGCCGGCGACGAGCAGGCTTCGTGGTTATATATCAGCTCACCACCCATCTCTTACTTGTCTAGAGTACCCTTTCCAAGCTCTCGCATTTTATCCATCAATGTGCTACAAGTGACTGCCACGTCAGCAATGAAAGAAAAACGAACAAAATACAAATTCACGGCAAGAAACGGAGGAAGAATGACGAAGCCCTGAATGAACATGTGGGCCCTGTGGTGATGAAGTCTTGTTGGTGTGAATATTGACGTGAGGGTGTGGGTAGTACCTTTGTTGCGTAGGGATTGAAGGAAGCGAGGAAGGTCCGAGTGATAAGCAAGGTCAGTCAAATTGGTCCATCATTTCAAAATTTGCCCCAATTCGGCCTCCTGCTCGGGCAGCTACCAGTAGCTTTTTCTTCCGGCATTTTTGATTGTCGCCCGTCAACCAATCATATTCGATCTGAAAGAGGAATCATCCTACACAACTCAGCAGTATCATGACGGCCACTACTTGCGTCGAGAGAGCGGACCTAGCCCTTTTATGTTCGACACGCCATATATCATTAAAAAAAAACTCTCCATACAGTTCTTCCTGCCTCGCTGCGACTTCGCTACTTTGATCCAGAAAATATATTTACCGAAAAATCTCGTAAGAGAAGTGATGATAAAGCAATTTCGTTAATCTACGAGATTTCAGACGGCACTCTCTCAATACGTAAGGGAAGGGAAGATAAAACAAGTTTGTCAACCCATGAGACCTCAGACGACTGGCTCTCGGTAGTATTGGTGATGGCAAAACTTCGCTCTCTGTCTACCTGGTTTCTGGCGGCCTTGGTGTCGTCTTGTGCGGCACTCAATGCTGAGCTTGTCATTTCAAACGCCATAATCGCCCCCGACGGTTTTCCAATAGAGTATGTTTATTGACCTGTGGTTGGTTAACATTTCATACCTGACAAAAATTTCCAGTGCCATCGTAGTCAATGGTCAAACCCCTGGACCAGTCCTCTGTGCACAGAAGGTAGTGGTCTCCTTATCCGACTGTCCCTACCAGGAAGATTTACTCCATTAAGGGCGAACGCTTTCAAGTGAACGTCACAGATTTGTTGGTGGATGAGTCGATGAACATTAGCACGACCGTTGTTAGTATCTTCTTGTATTCTGGGACGGCACTGACTTCGCTCTAGCATTGGCATGGAATCAAGCAGCATGGGTCGGCCCAGATGGATGGAACGGCCATGGTGACTCAGTGCCCCATCGCGTCTGAGGATTCGTTTATGTATGACTTCACGCCAGCAAACCAGACGGGTTCATATTGGTGAGGAGTACGTTTTGCTTTACATATATTTATTTACTGGTGTATCAGGTACCATTCACACTTCCAGCTCCAGTACTGTTGGTAACTTCATTCTTCACTGGTGCAGAGAAATCTCATAGTTGATGCAGGCGAAGGTGTGAGAGGAGCCTTGGTCATCTATGACCCAGAGGATCCTTACCAGGGCTTGTATGACTTCGATAACGGTCGGTCTAAACCTTGACTACATGTGTAGTTGAACGTGCTAACGGCAACATAGAATCGACCATCATTACTCTTGTGGATTGGTAGGACCATCAGCACTTTTACTGCTTTCATTGAATCATCTGGTCAAAGGTACCACGTGAACGCCTATGATGTTGGCTTTACCGACAATCCTGCCTCGACTCTCATTAATGGTGCAGGGCGTTATCCAGGTGGACCACTGGTACCTCTTTCAGTCGTGCAAGTCACGCCAGGAGTACGCTACCGTATTCGGTTAATGAGTATGGCATGCAAAACAAACTACGTGTTTACGATCGACAACCACGTTTTTACGGTCATCGAGGCCGACAGTGAATACACGACGCCTCTGGAAGTCGACTCGATCCAAATTCTGGCCGGGCAACGGTACTCTTTCATCCTGGTTGCAAACCAGCCGGTCGACAACTACTGGATTCATGCGATGCCCAATTACGATACCACCTTTACAGGAGGTCTCCACTCTGCGATACTTAGATATGATGGTGCTCTGCCAATAGACCCCATCTACAGAAATTCCACTTCGAAAGCCCCTCTATTGGAACAGAACTTGCATGCGTTGGTAGACCCCGCAGCCCCTGGTGTCGCGGAGCTTGGTGCCGCAGACGTGTCGCTAAATCTAGTATCCGTATGGGATGACAACTTGAGGTTTCTCATCAATGGCTACACCTATACCTCGCCCTCCACTCCAATCTTACAACAAATTTTAAGCGGAAATTTGAGCGTTTCTGGTCTGCTACCCTATGGATCGGTTTATACCTTGCCTGCCAACAAAACCATCGAGCTGTCTATTCCCGGCGGACAGCCTGAGGGACCGGTAGGCGATGCTAATACCTCTTTACCTATGTCTCTCATGTACCGTCATTCTAGCATCCTTTCCACTTACACGGTGTGAGTATTGCTTGTTATATCCTATTGGCACTCTAGTTCATGTATCACACAGCACAGCTTCTCTGTGGTGAGAAGTGCTGGAACTGAGGTCTACAACTACGCCAATCCTGTACGACGGGATACGACGGGCAATGGTGAATCAGGTGACAACGTGACAATTCGCTTTAGAACCGATAATCCAGGGCCATGGATCTTTCACTGGTACGATCCTAAAACTATTGTTGTAGCTGGTTAATTCAAATGACATCTTCTAGCCACATTGACTTCCACCTGGCACAGTAGGTGTTGTTTTACCGCTAGGTGACTATCTGATTCAACTTCTTTAGGGGTATGGCTGTGGTCTTCGCAGAGGATACCAATGATACTGCATCAGCCCTTAATATAACAAGTAAGGCTCGAAACTGATATATTATGTCCTGACTTCACTTATGGTTTCCGTAGGCCCATGGAAGCAGTTATGTCCCACCTACAACGCCTTGGAACCATCGGAACAAAGCGTGGAGCAGCATCGCCGACGTCATATAAAACACCGAATCGGTCATTGATTCTGTGTGCAGCTTTCGAATACCAGCATACTTTATTCGATTTATCATAACATTCCTGACGGACCTCCCTCCTTAGGCCTTAGAGTTTATACGTTCAGAATTTCCTGCGATATATCCTGCGCTTTTCGGTCCTTACTCCTGTTTGTCCTTGCTCCGTTACCATTCTATTTGAAGGACTTGTCGTTTACCCTTTGTTTTGTCGTGGACGTGTCTTCATCTGCTTTGCTATCTCCATCTACCTTAGTTCCTCCCGTTTCGCTTGTTGTAACAGACCAGCAGATAATAAATGGTTGTGTCTATTGTATCCAGCCTGTTTCAAAGACTGTTTGAGTATCACGGAGTGTCGAGGGCGTGGTTTACCGCTGCTCAGTGTCTGTTCTGAGTTTCCGCCTTTTCATTGATAATTTTTCAATGACGGCTTCAATGATTTGGTGCGTGCTCATTCACTGTCAGTGCTTGATACTTGTAATTATGTGCACAACCTGCTGTGTGTCCATCTGTGTATTGAAGATTGTGGTAACTTGCTTTTATCTGATCTGGTGGCTCTGAGATGTAACTTTACTCCTGAACTTCTTTCTGAGCCTTTTGTTCAGTGAGGCAAACATATACATGCTTGCTTCCTCTTGTGCTAAACTCTGAGAAAGACCAGACTACTGTAGAGTTACGACACTAAATTCGTCACACGTCACACCACGCTCTGAATTGAAGCTATTCACTGTGACCGTCACACTGGTATTTGCAAGATGAAGCTAAAATGTGACATGTGGTAAATTTGTATGGAAAAAAACATACAGCGCTTTAATGAGACCAAAAATCATCTTACCTCAATTATCATTTGCCGGACCACAACAAGAACACAATGCGTACAAACTCGAAACAATGGGCTCAGAGTAGTGTTGTGTGGGCCGGGCTTGGGCCTGGGCTTGAGTGGGTATGGGCCTCCCAATATTTTGGCCCAGCCCTGATGTCGGGCTTGGGCTTGGGCTGGGCAGGGCTTGGGCTGAAGCCTGGGCCTGACATAGTAGATTGAGTATGTAATCACACGACAACGAAACACTATTCTAAACTCTCTATGTCAATAAAAATCATGCTTAGGGAACTGCATGGGTATACCCCGGGGTATCTGGCGGGTTTTGAGTATCTGGGATGGTAGCTCTTCATTCTGCGACAAAAACAAAAAAAAGTTTATGCAAAATGATCCAGGATTGGCTGAGATATTGCTAGTCCAACAACTCAGGCTAAATCTTCAAAGCTCATCCCTCCACATATCAATCTTTGCAGGTGGGTACTCAAAATGTCAAAAAACTCGCAAAATCATGACTTGCTTGCAAAGATTGATGTGTGGAGGGATGAGCTTTGAAGATTTAGCCTGAGTTGTTGGACTAGCAATATCTCAGCCAATCCTGGATCATTTTGCATAAACTTTTTTTTGTTTTTGTTGCAGGATGAAGAGCTACCATCCCAGATACTCAAAACCCGCCAAAAACCCGGGGGTATACCCATGCAGTTCCCTACAGGCTTTGAGACGGTTGCGACACTTTGTAATTGTTAGCGCAGCTGAAGAAAATGCCCGCTCGCTCGATACCGACGAGGCCATGATTCCTAAAAAGTCGCGAGCAATAGCTGTCCAAACTAGTCCATACCTCATTGCATTTAACTTTCAATAGATTCAGTATCTTCATTGAGTGAATGAGTGAAGGAATACATACCCCCCACCACTGGACAATGGATTGGTTTTCGGCCAGCTGGTCAAATGTATTGACATAGTAGTTAAAGTCTTGAAGCCAGGGTTTCTGTGGATCAATTGATGATGTGGCCGCAGATGGAGCATATGAGGTTGGCATGTTGTCGTCATTGTCATTGTCGCTAAGTTCCTGCAGAAGCTGCGCAACTTTGATTCTGGATGTGCGACCTTTCTTGACCGGAATGTGTTCAGCATCACCATGAATGCGCACATAGTACTCCTGAAACTGATGACAGACAGTCAAATTATTGAAACAAAAATCCTTTGGAATACTCACAACACGTTCCGTGTTCTTGAGAGCTTCTTGTTGCAAATTTTCGTCCCAATACTTCTTGAAATGGTTCATTTTCTCATTGGGATCAAGCACTGTTTATGAATTGAATCAGTCATCAGGTAGGGCTAGATAGGACTCCATAAAATACTCACACATTGCCATAATATATGCATTGGAGTCACTAGTCTTCTCATAGTACATTGTGATCTTTTTTGAAGTGGTGCCTTGAAGCAAGTGTACTTCGGCCGTGTGAGTCGTAAGCTCCAAGCTTTATGTAACACCTCGAGAGCTGGGATAGCAAGGTGCAGGCTTGGGTTTCGATCCGACGAAAATGCTTGTTGAGCATTGTCGGCATGCTTTAAACGGGGCGTGAATGTTATCATTGCACATTTGAACACAAGAATGAGTACACTCACAGCGAGAAGATCAAGGAACAACTCGACACATTTCTATTCGTCGTTTCGTAGCTCTAACTCGCCAATCTTCTTCCACTTCTCCAGATTCGGCTCCTTCAGGCCCATTTCATAGATAAATGTATTGATGTACTGTAGGTGACACGGTCAAATTGGTCAAATTTTAACACTGTGAACACATTAAGACGCACCTTTCGCTGTGTTTCAGCATGCTCTAACATGATGTATGTTGAAGACCATCGGACTGGCATGTCGAGCAGCAACTGCAGGGGGCGTTCTGCACCTTCTCGGATCTGAATCTCCTTGAAAAGCTGCTTGCACTGGGCTGATGACCGCTCCTGTTTTGTTTTGTTAAGTTAGTCAGTTGAATTGACCAAATATCATGTACATACCTTCACAGCGATGGCTTGAATGAGCCCAACTTCGTCCTGATTGTGACCAATAGTACTTGGCATATGGTCTTCAGGGCTCGCAGGGTTGTAATGTTTTGATTTTGTGTGAGTCTTGATGAGCACCTGTGTCGCCAGGTTGATAACATGGGCAAGACATCTAGTAACAAAATGTCGGAATGAACGAATACGGCTGAATCTAGAATGAATTACACACCTGATACGGCATCCCTTTCCATCAAATGCCTTCCTGGTCTTCTTTGTAATCTGATTTGAAAACTCATCCATCATTGAGTTGTTATTTGTCACATTGTCACAGGTGATGTGCCCAATCTAAATGTGTGGTGAGTAACATGAACCCTGGTAAGATAAAACATTACCTTGTGCGAAATTTTGAGGTGATCAATGATTTTGAAAAGTACTTGACCTCGACGGCGGCCATTATGAGAGTTGTTGAGTCTTGTAAACCCAAACAGTGCGCTTTCGAGAACCCATACTCCTGACGATGGCTCTTCGACCCAATGACCGGAGACAGCGAAGTATCCGTCGATGTTGGAGGCTTGCCATGCATTGCATGTATTGCTGATTTCACCTTTCACAGCATTGCTCTAAGTCAAAAGTGAGTGGTAGTATCATTCAAACGAAACAAAAACTTACATTAAGCCGTGTCCGAAGATATTTCATCTGCTTCTTGAACATCTCAATAATCTCGGCGCACGTCACCTTTCGATCCAGAATTTTGACACCATGTGTGGATCGTGATGCTACATGAATCACGAGGTGGAAGGATGGGTGTTCCAGCGCTTGAATCGGCTATTTTCATTAGTGAGATGGTGTAGTACTATGTAAATTTAACATACCTGGTCAGTAGAAATCAACCATTCTGTTGCAGCCTCATGGAATAACTGGTCAGTGTATGGCAGCACATGCTTGGCCTTTGGTGGTAGGTCATGCAGATGATTGTCGAGGCCAGTTTGGCTGGCGCTGGCTTTGAGGACGGTGTCACGACATTTTGCAATGGCCTTTGGAAGCATTGATTCGAAGTTGTTATCCTGGGCCCATTTATTGTAGGCGAGCTATGAATGTTCAATTAGTATCATGAGCATTGAGAATCACAAATACTGATCTTACCTTATGGTCTTTTTGAAGGTGCCGACAGCAAGTTGACAGGTCCTTCATGAAGTGTTTGCATGGGCCTTTCTTGGAGCACAAGGTGCAATCATGATAAACACGAGGTTTGCCGTCAACACCGATCTCGGAATACTTGGGACTAAAAAACTTATTGATGTCTTGATCTTTCCTGTCGTGCTTGGGTTTGATCTCGTTGCTGGAGAGGCTCATGACATCAATGTTGAGTAGAAATCCCTCATCGTTGATGGAATCTGCATCTGAAAATACAGTTAGCTACCTATGTAAATTCAGATATATCGAACTACTTACCTTTATTGTTCTTCTTGCATGCATGCTTGGCTGCAGCAGGTGCATCTTCTGAGTCTGAAGTAATGACTTGAAGAGTATGAGACTTTTTTGCTGTGTGAAAGAACTTTAAGTAACATGAGTGGGGAGTCTATATAGTATTGCTTACTTTGTGGCCTTTTGGGTGCAGCAGAATGATCTGAATCTTCCTCGCTAGAAGATGAGACAGAGTGAGAAGTGGCTGGGACTGTGGTAGGTGGTGCAGAAGCCTGTCTGGCATCCTCAGCTAAGCGTCTTGCATCCTTGGCTCGCTTGAGGTTGACGGCCTCAAGGTGTGTGCTGAGTTCAGGTGTGGCGGTGTTAGCAGCATCAGTTAACCTTTTGGAAGGTGCAGGTACCCGCTTGGCGCACACCGGAGCGTCGGGATTAAGTAAAGGTGGCATCAGTTGCCGATACCACCGTCGACCAGAATAGCATCGATCAGAATAGCTGTGGGAAAGAGTTTAAGTTAGCTGTACAGTTAATACCAGAATTGACCGAGAAGTGCGTCAGTATATTTAGTAAGCCCGGGCCTGAGCCCCGGGTATGGGCCTACACAGATGGTGGGCCCAGCCCTTGGCCCTTGTCAGCCCACCTACTGGGCTGGGCTGGGCTGGGCCGGGTGGGCCTGTGGGCCTGAGCCCTGGCCCTGCACATCACTAGCTTGGAGTGAACCTACTGTAGAGATATGCACTTAGGTTCGACCCGATTTGGGTGTGACCAAATGAACGTTAGGTTTGAAAGTTCGAAGGAGGGTGTGACGTGTGACATGCTGCGCATAGGTTCATTGTGTGTGACGACCAACTGAGTCTCAGACGCGTTGCAAATACTCAGTACAAGGACTTTTGGCAGCACTAGGACTTTTTTTCGTGTTTTTACCGCATGTCACAATATAAGTTCGATGACCTCAATATGGGTGTGACTGTCACACAAAATAGGTTCAATTTGCTGGGCCTATGATGGTGTGATGAACTTAAGTGCGTATCTCTACAGTATTTTGGATAGGTCACATGTCACATCATGATTTGAAGCTTTGAAGCTAAGGGTAAGATGGTCACAGCTAAATCTAGTCGAAGGTAGTGTCGTAACTCTACAGTATGAATAAAGAACAGGACACTGCTATGCATCTCTGTGTGTACAACTCTTTTGTTGGCATTCATAAAGCTAGACTTGAGTTTGAAGGGGAATAGTAGTTAAAAGATGAGAGAAGAGATAGATGAGATGAGAATTGGAATAGATAGCCTTGTAAGATTGTGACTTTTGAGATCTTTGAGACATAAGTAGTAGAACTAGGGAATGACACGGGTACCAGGCACCTGTGGCGGGTCGTGGGTACAGGTGTCACGTGGGTGCAGGTGCGGGTACAGACTTCAGACACCCGTACCTGTACCCACACCCATATGGTGGGTCAGTCCACCAATCAGTAACTCCGACTATACAGAACCTAAACCTTAATGTAAAAAGTAATAACAACACAATAATATTGACATTAGTACCCTACCAAACTACAGTATGCATCCGACATTTATCAAAACCGCTGCAAAATGTATTACAAAACTTACAGACAAGGCCAAGGCTGCAATAGACAAAAGACTCGAGAACTCATCCAAAAAATGGAAGACTGACAATAGTAGCACTGTCACCGCACATACCTGACACAAGAAGACCAGGCCAGCAAGAGAACACAGTCAAAATGTCGAGGAAGCAGTTCCTAAAGTGCCCATTCAGCCTCTGGCTCCTGGAAAAATAGTCGAGCAAGCCCCACCTAAAACCCATCGAGCCACAGTTCTCTCCGAAGACGACACATCCAATGAAGATGCTATTGTTATCAGTGACGGTGAGAAAGATCCAAGCAAAGGTACCATCATGGATGTCGACAATGAAGAAGAAAGTGCCGAAGACGAACTCAGTAGGAGGCCAAGCTTGTGCTCTGAGCACTGACTAACATTAGTAACTGTAGAACAATTAATGAAGGATTGGACGTCACCTGTTTATGCATTTTTTGATTCCACACCTATCATTGAGACTCTTCATGGTCATTGTGCGCATGCATTCAAGTGCATGGGCAAAAGATGCAAAGTCCGTATCTGCTGATTCCTTGACAAAAAAGATGCACGGTCGACAGGCAACATGTGAAAGCATATAAAGACTTGCTGGGGCAATGAAGTGTTGCAGGCAGCCTGCAAAGCAAAGGATGCAGACGAAGTCCGAACAAAGATCATTGCTGGTATCCTTCGCAATGGGTCAATAACAAGTTCATTCGAGCATAAAGGAAAAGGAAAGGTTACATACTTGCATAGGCAGCATACTCATACCAAAACAAAGTGGGTCCTCCTCGAGCTTCATCTGCCCAGTAGTTAACATGCTATGCAGGGCGGAATTAGTTCATTGGGTAGCGGAGAGCCTGCGACCATTTGACATAGTCAAGGATAGAGGATTTCAGAGTTTAATGAAGACAGGGAGACCAGAATATTACATACCATCTCCAAGAACTATCTCGAGTGATGTAAAACTTGTGTTTGTGCGAACACACGAATGAATTGCTAAGATGTTGGGAGTGAGTCAATTTTCATTTGTTCAAAGGTATAAAAAGAAACTAAACCTACCAGGAATATGACGGCAAACTGAACTTCACAATGGATGGATGGACTTCGGAGAACCACCGAGCTTTCATTGCGTTTTCAGTACATATGGAGCATGATGGGATCCCACTGAGCTTTCCATTGGACATTGTCGAAGTTGCTATGGTACAAAGATACTTACATTAATGAGGGAGCCAAAAATGACCTGCTAGTACCAGTCTCACACAGGCGAGCAACTCATGATTGTATTCGCAGATATGCTAAAGGAATTTGGGATCTTAGACAAGGTCAGGGTTAAGATAGTGAAAAAATGTACCTGCTGATCCAACAAGCAGATCCTGAGTGTAACATGTGACAATGCGTTGAACAATAACGTCATGGTTGACGAACTTGAACAATTGGTTCCTGAGTTTGCAGGGGAGGCAAGTCATACATGGTGCTTTCTGCACACCGTGAACCTTGTTGCAAAGTCATTGATATGGGAGTTTGATGTGTCGAAGAAAGATGGCGAAAACATCAATGACGAGCTCATTGAGCTGAGTGAGGGCATTGAGAGGGAAGATCAGGAGATGATAGCCAAGTATAGCGAGGAAACTTCGGAAGACGACCCACAACTTGAAGACAAGACAAAGGGTGGGTGAATGATGCTGCTTTGTTGCCAAATGACCAATCCGTCGAGCTGCAAAAAAACATCTGGCCCGTTAAGTTAGTACTTGTCAAGGTGGGTTAGGATACATACAAACTCACCTCTAAATTGACGGTTCCCTCGTTCAGTTTCACAAACTCACCTACAAGCTCATCAACTCTACAACACTCCTCCTCCCTGCCTGGCACAAGATTCTTGGTGAACAGAAAATGTCGATAACTTACATGCCACGTGATGTCTCCACCCAGTGGAATTCAACCTATGATATGTTGCGGTACGCCCTTGCGCATTGCAAAGCGATTGATGTCATTACGTAGCAATGAGAGCTGGGCCTGCGAAAGTTTGAGCTGGCTGACAATGAGTGGGAAATTGCAAAGGAACTTTGTGACATATTGAAGGTGTGTGAGTTTATTTGATAAGCAACCTGTTATGCTTACCTGTAGACCGTGACAAGGTTCTCAAGGATACTACACTTTTTTTCTCTCGTTCGACGCTGAATCTTGCGACCGTTATACCTGCAATGGACTTAATTGATGAGTGCTTGACATTGTATTCTTGCAACACTAAATATCTACCATCTATTCGCTCTGCCATTGGACTTGCCAAGAAGACCCTTGACAGATACTATCAAATGACAGATAAATCAGAGGTGTATAGGATCGCCATGGGTATGTCTCAATTTTTCTGTCCATCTCAGTCATTGATTTTACTTTTTAATAGTCTTACATCCACGCCATAAACTATCCTACTTCAAGTCTGCCAGTTGGGAGGAGGGATGGATTGAGACCGCAGAAAGTCTGGTGCAGTGCCGAGTTTGAACGGTACTACTTGGATATAGGAGATTGAAGGCGATGCTGATGTTGAGATGGAACTTGACATTGTTCTGGTGGTAGACACATCTTGTACAGTTTTTTTTAATTTTAACTTATCTTCATTCTGTTTACCTTGACTGACCTCCTTAGCATATTTTTGATGAGATGCAAGCACTTGCTCCACCCAAGTTGACGGACATGGGAGATGAACTAGACTGTTACCTGAGCGCTGACATTGAGAATGTGTCTACTAATGCTATCACATGGTGGCATGAGCGGCACACTTCCTATCCTCACCTCTTCCGCATGGCACTTGACTATCTTACAATTCCTGGTATGCCCGACTCTTTTTTTAAGTATGAATCATTCTGACATGATCTACAGCTACATCAGTTGACATTGAGCATCTTTTCAGCCAGTGGTCGGCTCCTTCTCTCTCATGTTTGTTCACGTCTATCTGCACAGTCAACAAGGGCGCTGCTGTGCCTCGGTGCATGGAGCCATCTGAACCTTGTCAAGACAGAGGACGTGTTGAAGGTTACCACCTTGCCTGACATCAAGGGTGACACTGAGGAGGAGCTTGAGGATGGGTGGGACAGGATTTTGTTACATTAACTTAGACTTAGGTACATTTTGTTTTGTTTTTTTGTCCTATGTTATTGTGCACCCGCAGGTGCTACCTCCCATGGGTGTCGGCGCGGGTGTGATACCCACCAACCCACCATAAAACCCGCACCCACAGTGTGGGTGCAGGTATATCTGCGGGTATGGGTGCGGATGATGCTCGCGACACCCACGGGTATACCTGTGTCATTCCCTAAGTAGAACTTGAAATGTTAGAGCTTGTATGGAGGTAACCCATGGTAAGGTCAATTTGAAATATTGAAGGATGTTGTAATATTGGCATAGCAGTCCTGGTTTGAAGCCCAATGTTGGAGATTAAATCCACCTTTGACCATGTCTAGTTGTATGCTTTGACCTCAATACATGACTAAAGATCTATGAGATTGGAATAACATCTGGGCTGGTGTAGTATCTATAGTACTATCAGCTTAGGTCCACATTCTGTCCCATAGCCCAGGAATCATCATCTCATACAGACAGGGCTGTCTGGACTGACACAGGCTGATCAGCTTCTTCTATACTTATTCAACAATTGAGACAAGATTGCCGACACCGGTAACTTCAAAGATGCGAGATATAGTGGTGCCTCAGAGGCTATTGCTGAGTACCTTCAGCATGGTCCACATAAGACTGGGGTAATGTATAAGACAAAATGAGGGTTGGTAAGTCATACTATTAATATATCATTTAGCTATAGACTGATAAGAGATCATATAGTTTAAACAGACCTATTATGATAGTCAGAAATATTGTCAGCTGTCTGGTGTCCACTGGGATAATGTTAGAGGAGCCAATATTGAGGGTGAAGCTGCAACCATAGTATGGAATGAATACATTTCAAGAAAGGTATGCCAGGTCAATAATATCTCATACTAATAGCAATAGTCTTACTGTTTGATTAGGAAAATTCAGTCATGTGTCCTTTTTGTGTGTTAGGCTGGAGACACTATGAGCAGATAGATAGCATTATCTCACAAGGCAGTGGCATATGAGGGTGCACAGAGTACCAACCTCATATGGCTCTCTCCCCTCCCTTGAGCTCAGAATCCAGTGCTGACATACCAGTAGCTGAGAATAATGCTGGTCCCAGCACTGCCTCTGCAGCATCTGTTCTTGCCATTCCTACTTCTTAAGGTCCCACCTCTATTTGCAGCATCAACAGCATCTCCACATCTGTTGTATCTAGCGCTAAATGCTCTTACTCTAATATAGTTTGTGATTTAACTACATCATTTCCTTCTGCCTCAGTTTCTATGCAACATGAAGAACCTGGTACTCAGATGCCACTGCCTCCCTCTAAGTTGGGCTCCATAAAAAAACCAAAGATGACATCAGGCTACATGCAGGCTTGGAGCACTGTCACTAAGGATGCCAAGACATCAGATAACAAGATATTGAAGATCATCACTGCTGTAGCTGTGATAGGGTTCCAGAGCTCTGTCAATTGCTTAATAGATGTGATTGTAGAGCTACATGGTCTATCCCAAGGATTGGGTAATGGACTAGTGCTTGAGGGCCATGCAGATGTTGTAGGTTGAAGATGCTGACTTGCCATTTGCAGAGCAGCTTATAATATAACAAGTCTTTGCTATGGACCCTGCAGCTACTGATATATTACTGACAGGGACATGTGCTGTGATTTTTTCTTTCAACAGCCCAGTAGTTGGGGATTCAACCTTCTGGGCCTAATGAATAGTAGTACAAAACCATGATCCAGGACATTCATACTCGCTTAGGTTTACATGACCCCTTATGCCTGATGCAGTTTTTCAACTGCCCCAACCTTCATTACACTGTAGTACATTGTTTGTAGAAATCAATATATTGAATTGTGGTATTACATGTTATTGAAAGAATCATCTAACAAACTACGCTGCTGTAAGACAACTTGATAATCCTCCCACATGTAGTGTGCAATGTGATTGTGTGCTTCCTTCATGCCTCTGCCTCTGTCAGACTCATTGTCGTCGTCAGGCACTCTTAGTGAGAAGGGTTATCATAATTGAAATATTCATTGTTATCTAACTCATCTACAAGTGCTCCATTAGGACTATGTGTTAAGGTCATGTGCTCAAGAGGGATCAGGATCAGAAGGGCTTGGCCTCAGCTCGTATGCTGTGCCCCTTTCCCAAGTATGTGCCCTTTATTTCCGGAGGCAGGAAGTGTCATCTAGAGTTTCCAGAATATGACAAGTTTGGAATCCAGATGTCTGGATCTGAAACGTGAGATAAATCTGACTGGATGTTCAGATGTTGGAAGTAAGTAGATAAGGCTAATCCGGATGAAGTCTGAACTAGAAACTAACAGAGGTAAGACTACCTGAAGGTAGAGCCAGATATGTAGTCTAGGATATTCCTAAGACTCAGAGGTGACAAGAGACTAGACTCGAGTCTGGAATACAGAGGAATAAGTAGGAACTAAGGTGATATTTGAACTGAGGTATTTCTATGAGTTACAGGGGTTTATATACTACCAGGAAAACAAAAGGCTATGCATAAAGTATATGGAAAGCTTATTAGTAAGTACAACAGATCATAAGAATTCTGTATCGGAAATGAATCATAAGTAATAGATCATAAATCAGGATGGAAACATAAATAACCGGAGCCCAGAGTTAGGGGTATTCCTAAATGGGGTTGAGCGCTGATTTAAGGTTCGAATTCTGGAAATGATACATGGATAGATCCAGATCTCCAGATCTTGGACTCGGTGTTCTGAAGAAGCAGATTTAGAGTTGAGGGTCCAGAATGGAATATGATACTATGAGTACATATAAAGTTATGGATGGCACATAGGGTGGCAGGGATACACACTTGGATGCTCATGGGATACTCAGGCGACAGTAAGAGAATACAAAAACAGCATTTTACAGCTGGGTGCAGATATAATGGCACTGGCGCAAATTGAAAACATATAACAACAATGAGCACCAAAAAAGGACTTAGTGAAATTTAACTTAGTTGTAGGGACTTTGTTGTATTGTGCCATCATACTTTGCCCAGGCCCTTCTCTGAAACATGGGCCATCAGCAACAGATGTACAAAAGTGCCGAGTGCATTGATGAATCTGATGAGGATATACTTGAAATCATATCCTCCAAAACAGACACCAGCTTCCTATCATTGAGTGAGTCATCAACAGTATTTACAGACCGTGGAACTCTGCTCCAAGTAATGCACGACAGTATCAATTGTGAACTTGATGCAATGAGCCCTATCCCCAAGCCAGTGCCAGTACCTGTACAATCTCCCTCTCCACCTCCAAAGCAGGCTATGAAACCTAAGAAGAAAAAAGGTAGTGCATATACATATGCATCTTTATGTCACTACTGATCACCTTCTTGTTGGAGCAGTGTTATTCAAGTGCTCTGAAGCTCCTCTAACAGAACCCAAGCCAATTATTGCTACTGTGGAACCTGCTCATGAAGTGACATACAATGTTCTCATCCTTCCATATGCTGAAATCAAGAAGGACAATGTAAAAAAATGGAGTGGTACCAGCACCATATTGACCCTTCATCTTGATGAACCCTTCAATACTTTCAAAGCCCAGATTTTCTGCAAGATCGACAAAAAACATCACCTGCTAGTCTTTCCTTTGATAACTATAAAGCATTTTTTTTGATTGTCTGAATTTCACCAAAGCCTACCTTGCTATCCAATGAGGCTGACTATAAGGAACTCATCAAGCATCTGATGAAGATCAAGGAACCAATTATAATGATATATGCTTAAGAACTCTCTGACCTCAAAAAGGTATGTGTCGCAACAAGTTTTTCACAATCTAACTTCATGGTAGCATAAAGACCGAGAATCTGACAAGGAGAATGGAAGTAGTGGTGAGGATAGCAGTAATGAAGAGCAGAGAAGAAGAGGAAAAAAAAGAAGACTCAAAAAACAAAGGCACATTGAATGTTGTGAAAACTGCAAGAATGCTTCATCATTCACTGAATTTTCAGGCACTGAAGGCATCTGATATTGATGACAAGATGAAACCAGTGAATTGGAATATCACAAAGTTGACAGATTGTTGGGTATGTCGCAAGAAGCCAGGTTATCCCAGCAAACATTGTTTTGTGAATCCTGGAGATGGCGGCTCCCATATACCACTCTTATTTCCATTGCTTGATTGTTTGGCATCAGCAATGGTATGCACAGTTTTCCCAGTTGTTGTTGCACTTAACCATTCCTAGGAAAAAAGCCCCAATTATGTGACACTTGAAATGCCTCTAAATCATTCCTACTTCAGTATGGTACTGGTTGAGTTACCAACAGGTCCTGTCCCTGCATCCAGTGGGCCTGTTGTCAATGTCAATTTTCCTCCTGAGCTGTTCCAAGCAATTTGAGGCCTTTCTGCATCCATGGCACCTCAGTTTTCATTGCAAAATCTTGCTCCTGCTATGCATCCTGCTCTGTCATTGCTATCTCCTGCACAACTTATTTCTCTGGGACCTTGAATGACTCTCATTGACTTCTGCTCAACATACAATATTTCAGATACACTTCAGAAAAAACTCCTCAAAAATGATTTCAATTCTTTACACACTCTTCATTATGTAACTATTGATGACTTGCAGAAGGTTGTCCTGCTTTGTGGGGAACTTGCAGAACTAAAGGATGCTATCTCGCGATGATGTGGGGAGTAATATGTTTCATTATTGTTTGAAGTCCTAACACTGTCACTCACTGTGTATCAATTATGCTGTAAAACTATACTGTAAAATTCTAGCCTAGAAATAACCTGAATGGCAAATGTAGCTATGAGTATCCTCCACTGTTATGATATCTAATGCCTCTCATAAGTCATACAGAATACTATCATTATCTGCAGCAGCTAAAGACAAGTCATTGTTGCAACAAATCCACACTTTGAGCTTTGAGAATGCCTCCTCAATGGAGTTGAGATCCAGGGAGTATGGAGGCAAGAAAATGATTTGGATACCTAGTACTAAGCTTAGGTTAGAATAGTATATATTCACAAAGCCTCGCATCAGTGCACCAAATCTATCTGCAAGTTCCTGAACCTCTTCACCATGATGAATTTGGACATTGTCTATCACTAGGACACTGTTCCTGCCTGGGTAAGCTTTACAGTTAGGTAGCTATGACCAGAAGTTAGTGTGATGGACAAAAAAATGACAGCCAAATTTATGACAGAGTGTTCAAGATAATGGAATAGCCCATTCATCACATAGATCCCTCAACCACATGTCCTAGCAATGACACCATTGATTGTTAGGGCAGCTGTGATTGTGAAACATTGTCCATGCACAAATGGACCTCTTATAGGATGCCTGGCAACTCCTCTTTGCTCGACCGCATCTTCAAAACTAGGTTTGCTTGTCCTTCGAAGTCTCATCAATGAATAGAAGATACTGTAAGTCTTTGAAGTTGAGAGTCTGTGGACGTCTGAGATATTCACTTCTGGGCTTGACAATATTGCCAGTCTTGTTGTGGAGCTTCTTGATGTGATAAAAGGTATGATATGAGAATCCTACACAGTCCAAGATGTCACTTTGATATAAAAAACAAGGGATATCTTGTTAAGATCGAAGGAGAGAAAGTAGAAAGGTCACCCTAGGTGCATTCAGTGTTTCTGAAGATGCATCCAAAGTACTGAAGTACTGGTGTGATGTGTCCAAAGGTGGTCCAATGTCAAGAAATGAAGGTCTGAGGTTGCATAAAGCATCCAAAGAGCTTCCAATGAACAGCTAAGGTTCCAAGAGAGAAGTATGGCAGGTATGTTGAAGTATAAGACTTGCAAAGTATGACTAAGCAAAGTCTATTGGGATGAACTTAGAGACAGCAGATGCAAAATGGCAGTGGTCATGCCAAACAATCATTCCGAATGAACAAAGGATTGATTGTGTGAAGTACGACTATTCAAAAGTGACTCTACTACCTATGACTCGTAGCAAGCGAAGTGAAGTGAAGTGCAAGTATCTAGCAAGCCAAATTATATCCTACAGCATGAAGGTCTGGAAACAGCATAGGCGAAAGTAGTAGTGAGATAAGCTATCTGAAATGTAATAGAACTTGAGGCGAGCCACTACAGAGATATGCATGTAATAACGTGCTGTAGCACTCAAGCTCGCGCTGAGCATGTATTCAGTTATTTTCTGATACATGTCCAATGCCCATCACTTGCCAATCATTCCCCAATGTAACCCAATGCTAACCCACTCAAACCCACAAAACCTGACACTTTGACTAGCGGACCCGACATTTTGGCTGATCCGAAATCCTGTGCACTTGTTGTATCCGTGTCCCATTATGTCTTGCTAGCCCCACTAGGTGCATAGTTGATTATTTCGCACATTACTCACGTCATAGCCAGCACTATTATATGTTTTCTCATCATCCAGCAGTACCTCGTGTTTATTTACATGTACTTCAGACCCAAAATATTCGGCTGCTACTTTCACCTATGGGTTTCCAGATTTCTATGTACTTACATATATATTGGACTGACTTCAAGTATTTTCATCATCCAAGTAGCAGGGAGCCGTTTCCCGATACTTAGTGGTCACACCCAATATTTCATAGTTCTTAGTTGACATTGTGAATATTACTGCTCTTTCTATCCGAAATTCCCGTCATTATCGATAATCCACATACTGCTTGCTTTCCCGACATTTGCTATCACAATCCCCACTAACCTGCTAAACCTGAATCCAACACCTGCTAACCCAAAACCCAAATACATCAGACATCATAGATATACCTTTGGACATTGTTTCCTGCACTTAGACTTTTGACCATATATTCGATTCACTAACTACAGACCTATTCCAAACAGCAAACCCCTTGGATCAAATGTACTTGTCTTGCAAGTATAGCAGACTAGGGAGTGCAAGATCACAACATTATATATTTGGCTGAGAGTTTATCTATGTGTTCCCTATTCAGCCATTGTTGTATCATTACAGTGCAAGGCATGCTGCTATACATACTATTCAAATAAATGAGACTTCAAACAGGCTGACAACATATGTGCCCCTAAGACATAATCAATAATAGACAGACAAAGTAAAAATGCACCAGCAAAGTCAAACGGTGACCTGCACCAAACTGGTTCAGTGCATGGATGACTAATGCTCTCCCATGAGCCCGATACCCTAGAAATCATTATGAAACAATCTTCCTTTACTTTATGATTCAGACTGTAGTTCAGATAGTATTTTCATTTCATTTCTCAGATAGACTCAGATAGGCTGAATATTTTTGTATATTTAATTTTGTAGGTAAATTCTGCTTAGTCAGCAACAACAATGACTCAGACTGAATCCCACACATGTCAGGTAACAGTGAAAAATAGTTCTTGCATGAGTTGCCTTGTGGGAACTTTCTTAAAACCCTGAATACACGGCTCACATCATTTCTACGGACAATAAAGTAACATCATAACAAGACACCAACAAATAACATAATCAGTCTGTTACTTAATATTAGTCACATGATACTAAGTCATATGACTCTAACAGTCAGGTGACCTATGATCCTAAACCAAATCATGACAAAGCAACCTTTTGAGATGACTAAAGCTTGATGATACAAATTATAAAGCACATGACCAACAGTAAATAGTATTGGTACAATCTGACTAAGCCTATTTCCCTTAGAACGTGGGAAATAGTAGCACAGCCACCCTAATTTATCTATATAAGACCCCACTTTTTGCCAATAAAAATATGCCCACAGAGAGCTTTTAAGCCCCACAAAATAAAATTGAGTGTGAAGTGTGATCAATATCAGCAACAGTGACAAAAGCTGTTAAGCAACTAACTGAGAGGTCATTGTAAGCAACATCCAGCAATACCTTTAGCTCATCATCAACTGTGAAATATCTTGAGCTCACTGTGCTCAACAGTGAGCAAACTTTTTCTTTGATTTTTTACTGGTGAACCTCTAGTTCTTTCTTTCTTTTCTTCTCTTTCTCTTCTTTTCTTCTTTTCTTTCTTTTCTGTTTTTTTTTTTTCATTTGTCTTTTTTTTTTCAGTTCATTCACATACTAGTGTTATTGTTCTGAATTTATTCCAGGATTTTCGTGTTGTCTTTATGTCCATCTAAGCACCAGCTTAGTGGGAAGACTTCAGAAGTTGATAGTGACGCTTGACCTCACTCATCTGAGTAGCGATACTGAGCCAGGTTTTTCTTTGTCTGCTAGACTTTAGTTGTTGAATAGGGGACTTGGTACTGAAAGCTAAGGACGTCTGTTCCTGATTTCTGTTTAATACTCATCGTGAGTTCCTTGGCAGCAGGTTCAATAGTAAACTAAGAGTTCTACTGAACATTAATTAGTCCTGACCTGTGATTCTACCTGTTTGTGCTGAGGGGGTGATTGTTATAACTTCGCACAATTTTTCTGTAGTAAATTTATTGCAAGAGGCATTGTTACTGAAGGAAGGGTTTCTCTTATCAATTTATTTATTTATTTTATCAGTACCATACTGTTGGGCTGACTTTCTCTGTTCTCTAAACACTGCCATACCATTGAAGTGAATCAATTTCTTTTTGTCATCACTATACTGTTGGGCTGACTACATTCTGTTTATTTTTCTATTGCATCCATACTGTTGGATTGACTGGTATTGCTACTGACCTCACAAAAGTACTTTTGTCTGAACATAGCTTGGGGAAGTGTAAACAGCCACCCACGAACAACCACATTATTAGTCATTGGTATTTGTCTGAATCACTGACCATAGAGATATTTGATTTTGTAGGTGTTTATCTATAGATTATCTATCTAAGAAGACAACGGACATGGTATGAAGGATCAGAAGTGTAGACAAGCCTTGGAAAGGGATAGACGACCTTTGGATGACTCAGATGAATGTACAGAACTTTTGGAAGGTAAAGGAAGTGTTAGAAGATGCAATATAAGTTATCTGTGGAATTGGCAAGATATGCGCCCAACGCTGATCCAAGTGCTACACTGTAACATGCCAATATACAAGAAAAATTTCAGGAGACCTCACATTGTTTCTCTTGTGACCTGATATTAACATCTGTAGCATGTAGAAACAGATGAAGAGAAGGAACAGATTTAGGCTGAGACAATCCTATATAACAGTAAGTATTAGCTGAAGATAACCTCTTACTAAATAATCACTATCTAAATGTATCTGCAGCTTTAGGCAGCACTATATCTTATGCATCAAAACCTCCAAGTATTCAATATGTGGCTGTACTGTGTGACCTTGTACTATCTACAGAGGAATACAATACATCTACTCAGAGGGTTGGACATCACAAATGTGTGCACATATCAAAGACAGAGCAATCAGACCTTGAACAACCTTTGGAATTTAAGTTTGATATTGATATACCTGTATGTACATAT